AGCAAGATGGAGCCCACGAACCTTGCATCACACACACACACACACACTCGAACACCAATTCGGCCCAACATTGCTTGACACTCGAACGGCCTCGGTCTCACGGCTCAGCCGGGCGACCGCAAGCACTCACCACGGCGGACACCAGCGGCGTGAGCCACTCACTCCAAGGACCGTCACCACGCCTCGAGTCGGCCACAACGACCGTGACAGGTACCTGTCCAGAGGACAGGTTTCACGAGCACGTTCAAGCAAAGCCCACGCTTCACCCTCGGATGATACAGTTACAACCGATTATATTAAATTTATTAAGATATGAGTCCATATTGTGGACCGCCCCCCATCCTGATCCTCCATACTGCGGAGGTCCAATAGACCGGTGTGCATCGTCTGATGCATCAGGGTGTGATGTCACCCTCCCAACTTCCAGTCGACCTGCCGGCTGTCACGGCCCTTTTCACCGGCTTTCACAGCCGGCTGCGTCTTTCCACGGCCTTGTCAAACGTCGCTTCTTCACGGCCAACTTGTGATGCCACATCACCGGTGACCCACGCAAGGTGCGTTGACTCACGGGCCTCCATGATGGTGACCTTTGAGCCATACATTGGCCGAGTCCAAAGGCCTGGTTTTTCAAAAAAGCGCCTCGTGCTCCGTGACACTTCAGCCCTCGGTGACACTTCAGACCCACCGACGCTCCGTTTTCGTTCACAGCCCGTTCTTGGTCCCGAACCAAACCGGATTGGTTCGACCCCCGACCCCTCCAGAGGATTCGGGTCCGACCCCTCCAAAGGATTCGGGCCCAGGGTCGCGTCTGGGCACTAAGAAGACGTCTTCCAAAAGTCGGATCCTGCGAGACTTGCTGAGTGAAGCGGGAGGTCTCATGGAACAGAACACATCCAGCAACCCTCCCAAGCAGTGAAGGGAAATAGAACAGTCGTTTCGGTTCGATGGCACGACCTCAAGAGGTCCACACCGAGGGTTCTTTTTATACCACCGATTTCCTTGGGGTCTGTGACATGTCATGTTCACTTCCACCAGTCACGTCCCCATACAAAACGATTCCCTGGGCCTGCCAAACCCCTAACGAACGCACTTGTCGAGCTGCGCTTGCCACGACAAGTGACCACGTGACATCTTCTTGCTTTGAGACTCTTTGAGTGCCTTTGGGCCTGAAAAGCGAATCCCAATGGCACAGCGACCACATGTCCTGGCTACCTCACATGGCACCGCAACCGGAATCAACATCGGATTGACTGGGGAAACTATGATCTCGACATTGGAAGAAGCAGTTACCCTGAGAATCCGGGCTCCTTCACCAACACATAGGCTTTGGTTCGGGTCCAGACCCCTGCGGAGCGCCCAAGCTCGGACGGTAGGACAATATGGCCTGGCACAAAAGACCTCGCCACAGTGTGGCTTCTCTGACGACCTGACGAGGACCTGATGAACAGCTTGTGCCAGAAGACCACAACAGCATACCAGAAGCACACGTCGACGGAATGCAGATGACTGAGAATGACTTCAGCAAAGGGTGTGAATTGGTGTGCGCCAGCGCTGCTCACTTGGGATGTCCGATCCGCTTGCGCAACAGACGCTTCCCAAACCACAAGATCAACATTGCGGAGATATGAAGAGATAGCCCAGACACGACTAATGGGACTGCCATAGGACTGCTGATCAGTTGGGGTGGTGCCAGGGGGGTCTGGGGCGGCAGTCCGGACTGGTAGTCCCATCAACGTCGTGTCTGGGTAGTGTCAACAGCGGGATCAGACCGTTGGGTCTGCGCAGCACTGAATCACCTGCTAGCCGTGCGCTTATGGCTTCCACGTTGGATACATGAAAGGATTCCAGTTCTGGGGGTGGGAAACGCTACAAAAGGCGGAGGCGACCTTCGAGGAGAAGCTCTACAAATGGTTCGAAGGAGAAGCTTTGAGTCGTTACAGCTGAAGGAGGAGCGCATTCGGGGCCTGGAGGACTAGGACGAACAGCAAAGCAACGTGAAACCGCGAAGTCCAAGCTCCAAACTCCCAATGCTAAAAACCAGAACCCTTTGGCTATGCGCATTCGGAAAGATGGGAGAATCAAATTGTGAGAATGTTTCCCTAGGGATCCACATACCTTCTCAGAAGGTACGACTGGGCCCTCCAAGCCTACATAAACAGTCTCCAATCACCTAACCTGAGGTTCGGTACGACTGGATCCCTAGGGTTTCTTGAAACAGGCCAAACAAAAGGTCTTTCTCTTGTACCATATGCCCCACGTGAACGTGGGTCCAGAGACGACGGCAAATGCTCCGCACATGCTCCAGGCACAGGTCGTCCAATAGGCCCTGAGGTTCATTGTTTTGGGGTAGCTTTGGAGGGTCTAAGTACCGAGGAGGTACGACTGGACTGCTATGCGCTTGGTACTTGGAGCCACTGCTGGAGGTTCTGTTTGACCCTGTTTTTCGCAGGGTTGGACCCAAACCAAACTTTCACGGGCTGAGGGTCCTTCCTTGATTCTCAGCGCTTGCAAAGCTGGAGCTGCCATTGGAAGAGTCAACTTCTAATTGTCCAGGATCAGGCAACAAGTTCGAAAAGCAACAAAAGTGGCAGAGGTCTTTGTAATTACTGGTGATTGGTAAAGAACAGCCTGACTGAGTACAATGTCCTTTCGTCCATACTATAGGTACTAAAGGCTTTAAAGAGAGAACTTCAGGTGGTGATCTCTCGCGTACTTGAGGTGATGACCATTCGAGACCCCTTGGAGATGGTCGTCTCCTCCTATTGCAGCACGGCGAATCGAGATCTGGAGAATGACTTGGTTAGCTTTTGTCCCCCAAAACCGCTCTGGCAACCCATAGACTTGCGAAGTGAGCTGGCAATTGACGTGAGACAGTTGGCAGAAACGCATCATTTCTTTCGGACGACGTGGAAATTCGCCGGTGAAAAACACCTGGTCAATCCAATTCGCTGCTGGAAATGTTCATGGCAATCCTTGGCCTTTCCAGCGTTTCTCCTGAGGTTACCACCACCGTGGCGCTGAGCCCAGCAATTCCATAGCGCAAGGGATGGTCGAAATGGGGCCCAAGGCACGGCGGAAACGGCGGAAACGTTCGTTCACTGAAGCACATGATCATCATCAACGCCACCCATGTGGGCTTATTGAATGTAAAAGACATCAAACCAGCCAGGGTTCTATAAACCACCCTAACTGGATGGGGCTCGGTGGTTCTTCCTGGCAGCCGGAAGGGTCGACGTTTTTTCGGTGCAAAGCGGTGGACCTTGGCAAGTGCCCAAGCTGCTTCGCTTGGAGACATCGGGGCTCGTTGCCGGGGGCCGTGACTTGGTCACTCGTCCGCTCGTGCGGTTCGATGAGAAAGTTCCTGGTAGGTGACAAAGGCAACACATCTTACCAGTGGTTTCAGAGGTTCAATGGCAGGCACCCCAAGATGTCTAGATTGGAGTCCACATAGACCAGTGGCCTTGGGGATGGCATCTCATCTACTCTGAAACCATGTGTATTGCTCTTAAACCTCTCCCACCATTGAAGGGATTGGGTGTGGCCTTGACATCGAACATTGGGTGGCCCAACCTTACAAGACCGGGTAGCCTTCGTTTGACCCGGTGTTGGTCGTCTCAAACCGTCCCAAAACCGAAGCCTTGATTGGAACCCCAAATCCATGGGGGTTGTCACGCTCCGTGAAAACCGCCCTTTCCTGGTCCCGAACCAAACCTAGGGATTGGTGAGAACCCAGACCCCTCCAGAGGATTCGGGGCCGAACGGGTCGCGTCTGGGGTTCCCACATCTCGTTGAAGGGTCCAATCTTGGAGGGGGGACGAGACGAAGGTTTTGGCAGTTGGACACCAGGAAACAGCTCTTCAGCTGGAGAATGGGTCCAGTGTTTTTCGTTGTGGGCCTGGAGCCAAATCCACACACCTGAAGGAAAAAACCAGATCTTGGAGGGGTCCAGGTCTTTTTATACCCTAAGAATCCTTGGGCTGTCCATGGCAGGGGTCGGACCCTCCATGGCAGGGGTCCGGGGCCTCACAACCCTATCTGTTTGAGGGCCCGGATTCTTAGGGTAATAAGCAGATCGTGAGTCTTGTCGCCGAAAACGGCTCCACCACACTCCAAGACTTCCAGACCCGTTCTCAGTGCCCGACAGCCGCATTTCTTCGCCCACGCCAGGAGGGCATCCCCGAGATGGCCCGACGGATGTTGAGAACCGTCCGGGGCATGGTGGCCAACTTTCAGGCGAGGAAGGGGTTCAGTCCAACCAAGCCCATACCAGCACCCTCCTGGCCAGGCTGTTAGTTGAGGGTGGTTGGACCCTAACAGGTCGAACCATTGGTGACCTGTCGGAGGGTCCTGGTATGGAGTGCCCTGGTCACGGAAGAACCTGGGAATGACCCAGCATCGGTTTGGGGGAATCGGTGCATCCCACGCCCCAGCCATTCGGGAGCGTCCCACGACCCCTGAGAAGCGCCTAGAGGAGTCCCATGTTGAGCGCTGGTGGCCGTGCTAGTTCCGGTAGGTCCCAATGGGGGAGGCGCTCGCGTGCTCATGTCGGAAGCTGGGGGGGATGTCCGGAATGGCAAAGCATTTGGAAGGTGGCAGTTCATCGCTATTTTTTTAGGCCATCGCATTGGCAGGTTGGAGGCCATCGCTCTTAGGATGGAAGGTGGGTGATGTGGCCAGTTTTTCCCTGGCCGCTTCTCACCCCCGCAGCTCTCGTTCTCGAGCCGTTGTCCTCAGCGCGGTTTCCTACGCTCCCAGCAGGGACGGACCGACGTGGGAAAAGCAGCATCGCCCAAAAGGCCCAGAAATATGGATGACCTCGGCAAGCTTTTTTGGGGGACACTGCAGAAACCCACTAAGAGCAAGACAAGAACCCAACTAAGCAGGTGGACAGTTCGATGGATCATGAGGATGTTTTTCCTATATGTTTTGAATCTCCAGAAGGAGGGACCCTGAAACCCAATCCCAGAACCAAATGGAAATCAAAACTATCCCGGCGCGAGACCCCAAACAGTGTGTGACACCTCGATTAGACCCCGGCCCCCCCTTAACCACTAGCGTAAGAAACCCTAGCCCTAATGTGACCACACTGGGGAGGGGATTTAAATCAAATGCCCAGACGCTCCGTGAAAACAGCCCAACTGGTCCCGAACCAAACCATAGAGATTGGTGAGAAACCCCAGACCCCTGACCAGTTCGGATTCGGGTCCAGTCGTGTCTGGGGATGCAGGCTCAGTCCCCAGCACTGGTCGAAACAACATCTGCCGCACTGGTCAGCTGTTTCTTGGGACACTGCTGTTCCCATCCGGTTCACCAGCAGCAGTTGCAGCATGGGCTCCCCTCTTGGAGGTGGCATGTGGTTGGACCACTCCCCCTTACGGATCGCGTGGTTTTTACGATCATCGACACCCTGGAAGGCTAACATGGGTGTCTGAAAACCACAGGTTGGTAGAGGAAAACAATCTTCCAGGAGGCCATTGCCAGGGTCCCAGTCTTCTGGAGTGTACCTTGCATTTCCTGATTGGGTGTGTATGGAGACCTAGAATGCCCAGACACGCCACGTGGGACTGGCATATTTGCACCCATTCGGGTGGTTGAAAAGGGGTCTATAAGTATAATATAGTATATACATGCCCTAGGGATCCACATACCTTCTCAGAAGGTACGACTGGGCCCTCCAAGCCCACATAAACAGTCTCCAATCACCTTCTGAGAAGGTACTTGGATCCCTAGGGTAGAAACGGTTCATCATCCACTAAGGTTTGGGGGGATTGGGATACCCTAGACTTCCAATTAAGACAATTGTTTAAACAAAAAGAATGGGAATCATCTGGTGTTTGTAGTGTCAAATCCTTAGGTTGATTCGGGATGACCCGCCTATGAAATGAATGGTTGGCCAGGAAGCATAGAGATCGAAGCAAGTTCACCATGCCACGTCCGACGGGCCGCGCTTGGTGAGAGCCCTTGGCCCGAGCCGCGCTCGCGCTCGCCTCTCTCTGAGCTAGCAGCTAGCACTCCCTGGAATCATGGGTTACGTGGACCAAATCGCCTCCTCGGTTTGGCCGTGAGTCAAAACCATGAAAGCCCTAGAAGTCCAAAGACTATATTTTGACCGGCTGAAGTAAAGGAAGTTCCCTTTCAGTTCCCCTAAAGACCATTCTTTTTATAGTCTTTGACTCCCAGGGAAAGTAAAAAAGATCGTGGATTGACATCCCGAACATAGAGGAATCGGTTCATTTCCAGGTCAGGCGCCCGCAGGTTTTGACCCACCCAAAGGCTCAGGCTCGCAGGACCCGTTCCCCGATCGCGGTCCGGGTGACATGACCCTCAGATCGCCAGGGTGAAATGGACCCTTCACCAACATGTAGCAGTTTGAGGGTCATTGAGGGTCCATAAACCTCTGGGCACATCCATTTATAGAGAGGAAACATCGGGGTGGGGCCGGCCACGTTGGCGGACACGTCCTCGTTCCGTCACCGATTCTGAAGTACGAACTGGCCGCCGAGTCCAAGTCCTGGTATGTTCTACCCGGGAATCTTTCAACGATGCAGCATGTCTGCCTAACTTGGCTGGGTTTTATAGATGAAAAGGCAGAAACCGCCAATGCACCAGGATTGGAAGGATATACCCTTGCCGCGTTGAGTGGCGCGCGGAACTTGAACTGGTCTATAACGTCCTTTTTCCCCGCGGACACCGCACCGCACGGCGCTGGCTCGCTCGCTCGCTCGCGCCGACAGGAGCGGAAGGAATCTGAAATGTATGTGAGCCACTTCGAGCGAATGACCGGGAGCTCCCCGGGTTTCAATCAAACCGTCCAGGAGAGGCGGGGGGAGTGGCCAAAACCCATGTTGGATGGAGGCGGCGGTCGGTGAGTCTGCCAGGAGGATTGGTTTGGGGCATGGCGTACGGGAGTTCTTGCAAATGTCTCCAAAGATGTCGAAGCGATTTCGGAGATGATCTCTTGCAGGAGACCTGGATTCTACCCAGTTTGACACTGGGGTCCACTCATCCACTCAACAATGAGAAGAATCCTCTAAACGTGTTTCTCAAACAAAATACGGGAGTGATTGAAGCTTGTTTGCTGAAAATGGTCATCGCCTTCCTTGAAGGCCATGTTTTGCTTGCTCCTTTCAAAGGCCAAAGAGCTACGTGAACATGCACTGTGTGTATAGTTACACTTGTGCCAGACGCTCCGCTCCGTGAACACGTGAACACCGCCCGACTGCGACGGTCCCGGTGAGCAAACGGTCCCGCTCCGTCCGACGGTCCGACGGATCCATTCGGTGGGTCTCGGGACAGGACCGGACAGCACGTGTGCAGAGTGGACCATCGGTCCCATGTGGATGGAGGGAGTCGTGGTCGAACAAAGGAATTCCCCGGCTTTGAAAGCCAAAGCCTTTCGGGATTTGATGTTGATATCTCAAAGCCTTTCAAGAGTTTGAAGAATTTTTTTCTTCCCTCCAACCGAGTGATTCACCCTTTGAACTGCAAGATTCACACATTCCATCAGATGAAGGTCTCCTCTATCTCTCAGTCGTGCAGCTGGTGATTCACCTGGTGCTTTCGCCAGGAGATGTTGGACTTCCTCTTCGGCGACGAGGTCTCCGACGACTTCAAGCGCCGGGCACTGGACGCCGCGGTGCACGAGGATTTGACGCTCTGCCATGCACCAGGGTGGGTTTTTGTGTGTGTGTGTGTGTGTCCACCTTTGTAACTAAGAGTTTCTGTTTTTCTCAACTTTTAAGTCGCAGGGGGGCGTGACGGTCGATTTCCTAGTCACGCCAACGAAGCTAGGGAAATCGACTGGATGGAAGTTTGGACGCACACTTCTGTACCTGCGCGGATGAAAACTTTTGCACACGCTGTGACTCCACTTTTCCTTTTGTTGTTTCCATGGTGGTTGTTCGCATGATATCCCCCAAAACAGGTTTCCTTAGCTTTGGTAAAGTGCTAGTGCGCTTGTTAAACAGTTCTGTTCTTCGGACCCTTGCACCTTACCGTTCTTGCAGTAAAGGGCTAATGCAGTAACTAGCTTCCGCAGTCAAGTGTGAAACCACTTTGTTCAAACACCTACAAATGCTTGGACTCTTGACCTTTCTGTTCCACCACCTTTCTTTGACTTGGGAACATGGCGGCCGCCAGCATCTTGAGCGGCATCGACTCGCAGCGGTACGCCGATGGCAATCGCCAAGAGCTGCCGGACTATGTGATGACACTGATGCGCGGGGCATTTTGGATGCTGATGAAGGCGCACCATGCGGCCTCGTACCCGCCTGACCACGTGACTGCGCTGGTGTGCTCGAGCCTGATGGTCGAGCCGGGGCTGGTCGTCGTCGCATGCAGAGCACTCCGCGACGAGCAAGACGCGGCCATCCGGAACTACATGGTCAATTTGGATTTCGCGGACTCACGGCGATGCCGGGGATCTCCATGGTCGGCATCCAACGAAGACACCATAGATTTCCTGTGACGTGAGTCAGGGACGCCTGACTCACGTACCTGCATTTTTCAACTTTCTCCGTCTCACCCTTGTTAAAGGGGCGCCGCATGTGCACAGACCCAGATCCTGGGGACCCACCCTCGAAAACAAAGGTCGAGCTCTGGAACTTCATGTGAATTCCCTTGATCCACCGTTCTGCTCGATACCACTGATACTATGCCGCAGGGCTCACTGAGACTTACGCTCCAGTCAGGATTTGAACTGTCGGACATGTGTCTAAGTATTCACCTGTACAGTCTGCTTGACTAGGTAATCACAGGCGGGACCTATTCCTTTGTACAGAACACTACATAAATAAAATATTTTTTCAGACTACACAGGCAGGGTTTGCACATGATCTTGCTGCGTGCACCTTCATCCACCTGTTTGTCCTCTCTCGTACGCCATGAACTACAAATGGATGGCTCCCTACCAGGCTCCGCCATTGACAGCACCTACGGTATTGACAGCTTCTTCGGCTTCCTCGACTCCTTATGCCTTCAGCCAACGGTGCAAGTTACGTCCTCTCCACCTACCACCACTGTACAACCGCCGGCGGCGGTAGCCAAAGCGGCGCCGCCGCCGGTTGGGGGAGGCGGCCGCGGTCTCGAAGGGGACCAAACAAGGCTTTGTCTGGGAGGCGTTCTTGGTTTGTCAACATTGGGATGATTCCTTCACCAACCTGGTCTCATCTCGAGAACTTATCATTCAGTACCTTTGGTTCAACTTCACCCAACGGATTCCAACCACCCATCCCAGTACCAGACACTATGACAACTCGCCATTCACCATCCTGGATTGTTGTGCCCCTGACACTTCCGACGTCCAGCGTCACCATCGAAACTCCCACCTCGTCCCATGCCGACAACAACCCACACACACACACACACGCACAACCCCTCGCGGCTGTTGTTCGCGAACTTGTTCGCGAAGCCATTTCCAATCCTTCCACCATTCCCGCACCTCCACATCAGTCCCCACCCACATTGCCCAGCACATCTCCGGATGTCGCATCAGCCCCTTCCCCCCTCCCCCACTCCACCACCAGGAGCCATCCTCAACACCCAGGGCCACAGCAAAAACTCGGGCCAGATCTTCCCCCCCGCTATCCACCAGCATTTCGGTCTCCAAACCCCGTCCACCGAGTCGTCCAATCACCACTGCTTGCTCGATTCCTTTGATCCATTGGACACCTGTTGCACCTCGACCGCCCCACCCGGCCGCTGGGCCCAAACACCCTGGCAAGCGTGCCTCCACCACAGGCCCACCACCCTCTCACCCTCCTCCACTTCGAGGAGTATGGGCGCCCCCACCTCTGACCGGTTGCAAAACTAGGGCCAGGTCTCGCTCTCCACGTCGGCAACCACTCCCAACCCCAGGCATTCTGACACACCGGCACACATCAGTCCCAACTTTGCCTGGGATTCACGTCCCCACCTCCACGGAGGCCCGCTTCGAGGACCTCCCATTTCATACACTGAAGCAGACCGAGACATCGCCAGGCAGACCTATGGCTCCAACACCCTCAAACGCATCAGAGTGAGTGAGTGGAATGGAGTGGAGTGGAGTCGAGTGGAGTCGAGTGGAGTCGAGTGGAGTCGAGTGGAGTCGAGTGGAGTCGAGTGGTGTGGAGTGGAGTGGAGTGGAGTGGAGTGGGGTGGGGTGGGGTGGAGTGGAGTGGAGTGGAGTGGAGTGAGTGTAGGTCGCAGCCACACGAACAAGAAACCTCCCGTGAAGGTGTACCTAGATCTTCCAACTGTGCAACAGTTCTGCCTAATAATTACTAACTTGGCTGGTTTTATGGATAAAAAGACTTAAATTCTGCACAATTGAAAGATCCAGGTATGACCACCTCATTTACATTCCCTACTGGAAGCCATCCAAATGGGCCGGTCATAGATTTGCATGGAATGACTGGGAGTGTTTTTCTGGTTTCCGCCTTCGTCTCGACCCCAGCCGCCGAGTTGGCGAGTTTTAGGACAAGGGGGCAGTGGAAAAAACGATCGGAATGCCTTTTGAACATCTTGTTCCAAAAGAGTGGAAGACCTGAGGTTGAAGAACCCTATATATATATATTTTTTTTCTAGACTATCCTATAGGTACCCCTGGTTTACGGGTCCTATTTACGGTCACTGGCTACCTTTGTTGGTTGAAGACCTGCCACTTTCATATGTTCCCCGAAAGCTGAAACGATCTATCAACGATGATCTACGTGTTCAGACCCCTTCTGCCGGTCCAACCGGTGGAACTCCGCTGCAGACCTCACGTGCCTCACGTGCCTCACGTGCCTCGCAGTTCAGGAACCGTGGAGAATTGGGCTACTCCTTCGACGTTCGGGGCCCTGGACGGGCCGACGCAGGTCGACCAAACGGGTCTCTTGAGACCGGCGGCCACGGAGGTCGCTGCTCGTGCCATGGCACGTTCCGGGGTGCGGCCAGGGTGTCCCGGTCACGTCACATCCACTTTCGCCACACCTGAGGTGTTGTTGGTCCTTTTCGGAGACGTTTGGTTTGCAGGTCGGGAATGGACCTCATGAGACACTGGACATGGGTCTATATATAAAAACTACCCAATATACAAACGCGAGGTATTGTACTGGACCTTTGCAAGATCTTCGTGTATCCCACGTGGAAGAAAAGCGCATGTTCCGTCCCAGGTCTGAGGGGAACCGACCCTTCACGAGTGCTCAGACCATCACTGTGAAGATGATCCGAACGCTGGATTCCCCTTCATCTCCAGTCGGCGCCACCCGGGATCCTTCCGTGGTTGGCGGTTCCCAAGCCGCGGCGAAGTCGCCAGCGCCGTGGGCGGTGGAAAGTGCGCCCGCGGCTCATTGGGGAGACATCAAGTCTCATGAGGCACGTGGTGAATGGCGAAACCCAGACGCTCCGTTTTCGTGAAAACCGCCCCGACTCAGACGGTCCCGAACCAAACCATGCAGATTGATGAGAAGGGTCCAGACCCCCGGGTCCCAGACCCCTGACCAGGACGGATGGGGCCTGGTGAGGTCGCGGAATCGGGAAGCACCGAATTCGTTCCCATCGTCGATCGGCCGCAGTCATGTTCCGCAGTCATGGGCAGTCATTTGCGGCCATATATATTTCCACGTGCCCGGTCGTCCGAAAGCAACCCGAAAGAAACACAGCAGGCAGTGAAGGAACCCCTGTGCAAAATGAACCCAACAGGTCATATATACTCAAGATTTGCACCGGGGAGAGCATCAGAACCCTCGTTTTTACCGACACCTTCCAGCCAGCTTTAGCCGAACGCGCACACACGTCGCCATCGCCACGCCCAGGCCAAACAAGGGACGAAGGTCAACCACACGAGCCACTTGCCAAATCCAGGAGCCGAGTCATTTGTTCAAAGGCAGCTGACCCGAGCCGGAGCCGATGTTGAGGCTCGGTAGCCGTTTGGAGATGCAAAACGGGGAATAGACCTGCAGGAGATAAAGAACGATCCAGCCAAGTGACCTGCTTCATCCGAGGTGATGATTCAGAACTGGACGCAGCCCGGTCCTACTTGCCGCTGGTGGACCAGGACCACCGCTTAACCCGCGCCACCTGGATATATGTTTTCGGGAGAAAAGAGAGCGTGCTCCGAAAAGGGCAGAGACGAGGGGCAGTCCGGTGGCCAGGTTCCTGGGCCTGGATGCTGTCGGAAGTCCGGCGAGGACCAGGCTGATAAAACAATGGAACAATTTGGTGTTGTAAATGAAACAAACCTTACCCTAGGCTTCCAACAACCATTCATTTAAATAGGCTTTACCGAGTCAACTAAGGATTTTACGCTACAATCACCAGGTCGTTCCCATTTTTTTTAATGGTCTTCACGGAAGTCGAACGCGCTTGGTCAAACGCAAAAACAGCTGGTGTTCAGAAAGGATGACCGAGATCATCGTCGCCCGCTGTAGTTGGTACAAAAGGACGACTCGCTTCGACAGCTTTCCGTTCGCTCAGACCTCACAATGGACCGTCTGAACCTCCCAGTCGCAAAAGCCACCGCCACGTTGAGGTAAAGGAATGAGACGCCCGTTCGACTTCCGGGAACGACCATGAAAAAAAAATGGGAACGACCTGGTTTTTGGTCGTGCAAAATCCTGATTCGGGATGACCCGCCCATTTTCCAATGAATGGTTCTTGGAAGCCTAGGGATCGAAGGAATCTCAGTGTGTACCTGGACCATCCGGCCATCTGGGTGTGCTGGATATCTCTAGAAGTAGTGGGGGGGGGCGGGTCGCGAGTTGGATTTCGGGGCACGGACCAGTCCTTGCAATGCTTAGAGTTCGGGGAACTGCGTGGAATGATTCGAAGTAAGTAAGACATTAAAGCCATACCTTGGGAGTCAAAGACTATGAAAAGAATGGTCTTTAGGGGACCTGAAAGGGAACTTCCTTTACTTCAGCCGGTCAAAATATAGTCTTTGGACTTCTAGGGCATATATATGTGGGCTGTTTCCGCATTTAAGAAGCTACGAACGGGGCTCCTGGCATCGCGACTCGAACGGAGCAAGGATGCTACGAACGGGGCTCCTGGCCGTACTACTAGTAGCAATGTTCGCTACCAGTAGCAAGTCTTACTACAAGACGGCCCTTTGAATCAAATGTTCTCCGCGCTCCGTGCTGCCGGCTTGCGCTCCGCGCCACGCCATAAGAAGGCGCCCCGTTCCGAAGCGCTTGGCGGGCCAGGAGGTGTTGGAAGAGTACAAGGAAATCCAGAAAGCCCTCGGCTACGCCGTTGGAAGTCCAGCCCTGAAGTAGCCGACCAGAGCAAGGAGAAGAGGCGTCTGCAGATGTCTGCAGATGTTTCTGCGTTGTGTGCAGCGAGAATAAAAGGAAGCGAGCGGTGCGTCAAGCACAACTGGTCACTTGCAGGATTGCCAGTCGAAGGCTCTGATTATGTGAGATCACCTGATCACAATGTGCAAGGAGGATTGTGACGTGGTTCTGCATAATATGAGGTTTCTTCTTTTTGGTAAGTTGTACCCTGACCGAGGGTAACTTGGGGGCCTCAGAGTGTTCAGAGTACACAAATTCCCTGGCTGGTTGATCCAACCCGATCAACTTAAGTGGCTTACGGGCTTGTGCCATCTACTCTGAATCTACTGCAACTCAGTTGGTCAGTACCTGAAAAAAACCGCGCACCCACACAAAAAGCGCTACCCTGTAATAGACTCGTTTGATCGTTTTCTCATTGAAAAAGAGGGTGTCTGACTGAAAGCGCTCGGCCCAGTGCGCCCAATGGGCTCGAGCGGCGAGCTGACAGGGACCGCCCTTTGGGGTGGTGAGCCGACGACACGGCCTGACATGGCCTCGTCCATCAGGCCAGGTGATTTGGTCCATCCAATCACCACCCGAACTGCGTGGTGCTGGTAGATGTCACAACTGGGTCTTTCACCCAAATGACGAGAAACGTGTCTCTTTTTCTTGGCGGTGTCCCCCGAAACCTGTCAAACCCCGAACTCGGGTTGAAACCGAGCGGACCATCAGGTTCAACCACCAACCACGAGCGGACCGCGGACCTCCAACCGACGACGTTTGGGCTCAAGATCCACTTCAGATCCATCGAGCAAACCCACTCGACGTTCCATCCATGATGCTCAGCACAGCACGTCCGTCGTGGTTTCGTCGACGACGAGACCAGAGTCGTCGTGGTCGTGCTGGGAAGCCGAAACGGATGGACGTCCGAGAGAGCGACGCCAGACACCAGACACGACGGACTGCCAGAGGTCGATCAGGCCAGGGGTGGGCCATGAGGGGTCTGGCCTGAGGTGGCAGTCCTATGGACGTCGTGTTTGGGATACCCTAGGGATCCGTTTTTGTACCGAACCGGAGGTCCAGGTGGCAGTGGATCCCTATAGGGATATAGACCCCAATACCGTTCGCCTCCATGGCTGGCCCCACCGATGGCCCGGAGGGTCTCTTTTGGGTTGAATTCGCCTTCAAAGACCCTTAAAAGAACAGTTGAGCTGGTGGTGTAGTGTAAAAATGAACAGAAGTCCCTAGTAAAAATCCTTAGTGTAAAAATCCTTCGCAAAACCATGGTTCTTGGGTAAAGACCATTAAAACTTAAAACAATGGTTGTTTGAATCCTTTGGTTTATCCTAAATACCCCACCCAGGTGATCTGGTGATGTGTCCCCGGTCCTTGGCAAACCTGGCGGCACTTGAACCGGCGGCACTTGAACCGGCGGCGCTTCCAAGCTGGCGGTCTCAGCCCCAAGTGGACACCCCATCCTGCCCGATGGGAGAACTCGGTGTCAGACTGAAGCTGAAGAGGTTCCGAGGGCGCCACTCCGGCTGTGAAGCAGCTTCAGCATGGAGTGCCCAACCGCCACCGACCCGTAACCGTTCGAACGCGCTCCGGTCGGTCCGTTCGAACGGTGTCGGTGACTGTGCACCATCCACAAACAGATCCAAGATCGAAGCCTCCACAAACAGACCGTGCACCATCCACAAACACCCTGGGATTGGACCACCGCGGTCGTCACCGTCACCGCCGGGCGCGGCAAGCACTCAGGACCAAGTGCCTGCTGCGGGTGGCCCTCCTGGCGGCGTCGGTGGCGGCGTCACCGTGGGAGGCCGCTTGGGGAGGCTGGGAGGCCGCGTTGGCCCAGTCCAGCCGGTGGAGTGGTAAAACCTGGAGTTTCGGGAACTCATCCTGGTAGCTTCAACGCTAGTAACAAGAAGCTACTAGCGAACGGGGCTCCTGGCATCGCGACTCGAACGGAGCGAGCAAGGACGCGAACTGAACGGGGCTCCTGGCCGTACTACTATTAGGAGCAAGTAGCTACTATATAATATAATAGTCTGTTTTCCTTGGATGAGCCCTTCAAAGCATGTCCCACGGACGTGCCAAATGGTCGAACAGGACCTTCTGCCTGGGAGGGCGTGGACCTTCACCCAAACGCAGCTACGGGCACCACACCGAAACCTCGGGAGAAGGGCCCCCAGTCTTACAGACTGCTGTGGCATTCCTCCAAGTCCGGCATTCCTTCCGACGCTCGTCCGGGGATGCCGAAATGCGAGGTTTGAAGGATGCGATCACCTTCGCCGATCCTATGCATAGGTACCCCATGCATAGGGACCGGTCCGACTGGTTCCGGGTCATGGAACTCGCTACCTCTCGAAACAGCACCCGACTTCACAGGTGCTTCCTGGTGACAACAGGTGCCCAGAAACCACCATAAACCACCTGTGGTTGGGTCTCCAAACAGCCTGTTTGTTGGAGGGTTTCCTTCAGCACCTACCTGTTTGGGGCTGGTCGCTCTTGGGCCTTGGAGCGACGGAGAACTTCCGCCCAGGGCCTCACCGAAGCTCAATGCGATGCTTGGTGTTCAATCAATTGGAGGAGAAGGAGTGAGGAAAAGGGCAGAGAAATACATGTAGGTCAGCAGCTAGAACCTCCATGAACCTTCGAAGCATGAGTCCATGACTGGCATGCATGCCGCATGCCGGGTCGCCTGGTAGAGATGAAATGCTAAATTGATACTTAATTAATAGCAATGGCCTCCAACGTAGTAGCTCCAGGCTCCAACCTAAGAGGGATAGCCTCCAACCGAACTCGCCCAAGTTCACAGACCAACCCGCAGTCATGGGTTCTAGTCGTGGCTGGATGTAGATCGTCCTTTTCAAGTTCGTTGGAAATTTGCCGCTTGCACGCCCATCTTCGGCGATGCATTCGATGGGTGTGATCTTCTTTTTTCGTTGCTCGCGGAGCTATTATCTCAAGTCGCAAAGGCGCAGCCTGCCTTGATTCGAAAAAAGAATTTAACTGGCATTTCGTTTGAGGGATGAATTTGAGGAGGGTCCGACGCATGTTTGTTGAAGGTTTCACTTTCGGTGCTGTCTGGCTTTTCCACAGCCCTACAAGTAACATGTCTTCTTTGCAGATACAAAGTGTGTTTCATGAACCTCTGCTCACCCATACTACATCATACCACCGAGCATAGTCACTTCAGACTACCTCTTGTGGCATGACGCATGCACCCTAAGGGCTGTGCACATCACCTTCCACACGAAGCATGCACCTCCGACATGGTCATGTTTTTTGTGCAAGGTGCAGATCCCTTGTAACGTAGGCCTTCTTTTTCTCGGGATGGATGAGCAAACTCCAAGTTCGTGAACATTCGGCTGAGCTCGCTATGGGTTTTTGGGGTCTTCCCTAAGAATCTTCCATGGGCAGGGGTCGGACCTTCTCCACCTTCAACGCACGGGGGAGTTCCGGGCCCGGTTCCCAAAACCGGATTGTGTTGTGTGTTCGGGCTTGGCTCGTCAGTCACTTTCAAGAGTTTGGCTCTACCCTGGCATGGAACCTCAAGTTCGTGTAGAAAAACTCTTCAAGAACACTTAGTACCGGAATTTCCAGGACGGGTGCCGTTTCACCGGTCACGTCACATCCATCTGGATGCATGGGTACTATATAGCCACACCACCCAACTCGGACATGGCCAGCCCGCTGCGCCAGCCCGCTGCGCTTCAGCCAGCCCGACGCAGCCTCCGGGCACCCTCATCTCCACACCGCCTCAGCACCCCTCGTCGGCGTGGTCGTACCGTTCCCACCATCGCAGAGGATTTGGTCGAAACTCATTCGACTCGCCTTCCAAGAGAGGTAGCCAACGTTCCGTGACCTGAAGGAGTCGGACCCGGAAAACCTGGGGTACGGCATGGCCATCGTCGAAGTAGTTCAGGTTCGCTTCTTTGGACCCAACTCAGCGGCTGGGGGCTCCATCCGGTTCCCGGATTCGGCCACCCACCCATGAGAGGTGGCCAGTGACCGGGACCATAGGACCCGTCACCTGGGGTACCGACCTGGGATAGTCTAGTTCGGGTCATTCAACCTCTGTTGGACTGGCAGTGGACTCGTCCGGACGGATCCGACTGAAGGACGGCCAGGGACTCTTTCAGACCTCGGCGCGAGGGCGGTCGAAGTCCGGCCGGTCGCCCACCTCCAGCCCACTGGACAAGTGCCTTTGACAGCAGAAGAGATGCGTAAACACATCGAGGGTGCCCATGCGCGGTGATTGGAGACTGTTGATGTCGGCGCCGACCGGGTCGGGCCCAGTCGCACCGAACCGGAGGTCCAGGTGGCAGTGGATCCCTTAGGTGGAAGGGTGTTGAAGGGTCGATTTCTGTGGAAGGTGGGGATCGGTGAAAGGGCTGAAAAATGGCCTGGCTGTGGGTCAGAGGATCTTGGTGGAGTGCTCCCGAAAATGAACAGATGGACTAAGCCTAAGCTGACATGGTTTATCCGGGTGCCATGACCCACAGCCAAGTCCCGATCTGGACATCCAATCCCCTCCCAGACACGACTAATGGGACTGCCATATATGCCATACATTGACCCCTCATGGCCCGCCCCAATGTAGGCCCTAGACTTCCAAGACCATTAAAAAAAACATGTTAACCTGGTTTCTGTAGTGTAAAATCCTTAGTTGGTTCGGTAAAGCCTATTAATTTGATGGTGGTTGGAGGTCTAGGGTAGGCAGTCCTATGGTCCCATGGAGTGTTTGGGCCTGGAAGATCTCCGATGAGGAGAGCCTGCCCGGGGAGACACTCCGAGTCAGCAAAGGGGAACCACTTCGACAGCTTGATGGATTCTGACCAAACACCTCCCAAATGCCTGCGGAAGGAGTCGAGTCAACCAGTCAACCTTCAAGCAGAAAAGAGGGCAACCAGTGCCCATGTCCCCGTGCGGAAGTGAGCGGTGAGTACATGTCACCATGCTAGCTACGCGGAGTGTTGATGCGGGTTCCCACTTCGAAGGATCTAGCCTCATGTCGGACATTTGGATGTCAGCCGGGGCTTCCCTGTTGAATTCCGCTGGCGAGCTCTGAGTGTACTTCTGCAGGTACTTGGGCCGACCAGTTTCAATCTGTTGTCCTAACGACCGGTCCTCTTCGTCTCCCAAAACATGGTGTCCGAATCGACTCCTTCCTCCTCGGCAGGTTTAATCAGCGACTTCAGGGTTTGGACCCGGCTGAACGGCGGTTTCAGGAACTTCCCTCTTGACTCGCCAGGGGGAGAGACCGGTTGGCTTCGGTGTGCGACCCGGTGCCGTGACGCACGTTGGAAGGAGTTCTCCGGCATACCAGAGACGGGTCTCTTAGGCGAGTCTATGTGACGCTCGCCTGGCACAAGGCTGGGACCCAGCTGATGCGGAGGCTCAGCAAATGGCGAAGTGCTTGACGTCAACGGGGAGCGTGTGTCTTTTTGCTGGGGAGACACCCCACCAATGGGTTTAATCGGTCTATTTCTTCCAGGGGTTCCAACTGGGAGGTCCCCTTTTTCAATACACACCCTTGAATGGCTATAGGCTATATATAGGTCATCCAATCAGTCGTCAGAAGCTCTGCAAGTAGTGTGGGGTATGTAGTCCAGCTTAGAAATACCCCAAACGGATGGTGGTGGTATGAATCATCCATCAGCATAGTCGCATGTGGCACCTGCCAGGTCACCACCCTGCTTCTGGTGGAAACGCCTGCATCACTCAGCCACCCATCACTTCTCGGAGACCTATAGAGTCGTCCGTGGGGTCCTGGTACCCAGTGTTTCACCGCAGTGAACGTGTTTCACCCACCGTTCGGTGGGTCACATGGGATTGGTAGGCCACATCGTCCTGGTACCTGCAGCGCCCACGACAGATTGTGCGGGGACTTCGTTTCCGGTCCGGAAGACACCGTCACCGTCATTCATGATTCTTTGTGCTGATCAATCCTTCAAAGGTTAGAACCCAGGGATCACATGAGGCTCTTGGCCTCTCTTGGCCCAAAAAGCATGTCGGGGTCACCTGGAAGCCCCTACACTAGCTAGGGATCTCCAGAGAGGACACCCCGACATGAAGGTCCAGGCACCAGCTGAGCTTGGTGACCCCTGCTTTGGGAGGGCTTCGATGCTTTGGGAAAAGAGGTCGGGCCTCCCAAAGCATCCCCCGAACCGGGGGCCCGAACCAAACCATGAAAAACCATGTTTTTGAGGGTTCGTGGGCGCCCCTGGGCCCTGGAACATCCCCCAGCCCGCCCGGAACACCACACCGCGGCCGGAACGGTGCGCGCTCCGCGCGGAGCATTCCGCGGAACGCTGAGGAACACCATGCGTTGGATCTGGGACTTGCTGGACGCCCGTGAAGCCTGCAGGTGTGGCTGGGGTGTTCGGCCACCAAGGAGGGCAGTAGGTCGGTGTGTGGGATCTGGGACGGGGACACGGGTGGTTCCAAAGCTTTCCCGTTTTCTTCCATTCAGAATGGCCGGGTTGAACCCGAAGAAAACCGTTTTACTCGGGATTTTACACGACCAGAACGACATGTTCATATTTAAGGACCTCCCCGGTGGGGACCGGCGGGTTCCGGCGGGTTCCGAATTCGGTGGTGGGGGGTAGGAGTCACCGAAGCTGCAGGGATTGCGGAGCCAAGTGCTTTTCGGTGCTTACCGTGTGCGATACCGTGTGCACAGTTGGAAGATCCAGGTACCAGCACCTTCAAAGGGGTCACCAATGGAAGCCCCTACACTACTAAGGGGCCTCCATTGGACACCCCTTGAAGGTCCAGGTATACAGTTGCGGTGTCCCAAAACGCTTGGATCCCAGCAGTCACAGAGCTCGGGGTGGTGTGGCGTTTCATTCCATCCGGTACCGGGGCCATGTGACGTGCGGCACACACCCCGAAACCAACCCCGAACCGAACGTGACTGCTGGGAGATGGTGTTTGGTCGATGATGTCCCTAGGAATCCGGGCTCCTTCACCAACAGGTAGGGTTTGCTTCGGCCCCGGACCCCTGCGTTTCGGTGGAGCTTAGTCCGACCCCGGACCCATAGACTGTCCAGCCCGTTTGGATCAGTCCCGGACCGGTGGTGGTGGTGCTTTGCGAGTCGCCTGCGCAGCTCGGCGTGTATAGGTATGACGGTTATGGAGTGGACCTCATCTCGCATGGCTTCTGGGAGCAGGAGCGGACGGCGCCCGCGTGTCCACGGTCGCACTCTGGAAGGCTCCTCCCCCAGGGCAGAGCCCGCAGAGCCAGAGGGTTTGGACGTGTGAGGGGGGCAATCGCTTCGGAGAGTCCGTGGTTTTGGTCGCGAAAGTGAGGTGAAGTGAATGTCGAAAAAGAAAAAACGAGGAGGACGAGGGCCAGAAGTGAAGAAGTATACAGTATACACCACAGCTTTCAAGATGTGTCCGAAACAAAGAGTCACGTTTGGACTGTGTTCAACTCAAGGTGACTTTTCGATGAGGCGATCCTTTTTCACCAGCGATATGGGTGCCCTTGTGCATTTACTCTCAATCAGAGTGAGACCTCCAGAAGACGAGGCTTTTCAATTGAGGTGGCTTTGGCAGGGCAGATTTCTACCCTGAGATCAATGGTGCTTACAAACCACATGCACGGTGAGTTAAGCCTGCAAGCAAATCAAGAGCAACAGACTGCAACACAGACACGATCATTCGGTAGACTACAGAGGCCCGTCCGGACTGTAGATGGTCTAGACTGCCCCCCCAGTGCCACCCGCGGTTTCACCAGGCAACTGGACACCGACCGCGTCCGAGCGTCCCGTCGCTCCTCACCTGGCGCTCCTCACGTTGCGCTCCGCGCGTGGTGAGGACTGCCCAGAGCACCCGGACGTCAAGATCCGCTTCAACAACCACGCGAACCAGACCTTCCTGCCAGCTCTCCGCGCGGACACCGCCAGCTCTGGCGGATTCAAGGGAGCCCCGAGTCGTTAAGCCCATTGAGATCTGGGTGTTGGGAGGGGTGTGGTTTTTGGGGCCACAGAAGTTGTGGGCGGCCTACCACAAAAGAACCAGAAGAGGCAGAGAAAGTTGCATGTTGAGCAAAACTATTGACCAGCTTCTTCAAAGTGACCTTTTGAAGGTTCCTAAGTGACCCTTAGGAGGCTTAAGTGACCTCAAACCAGGTTATCAAAAGGTCACTTTGAAGAACCAGGGATTGACAAGTTGGAGATGAAATTGTTGGAGAAAGTTTCATGTGGTTTGATTTCAGGGGGCTATGAGAGATCAGCACAGGAGCGGTAGGAGAACTATAGGTCTTGGCCAGTCTGAGCATTTGCTTGCCAGTCAATGTGGAAGACATCACTTTTTAACGATGTTTGGTAGGGATCAACATGTGTTCACAGTCCCCTCCTTTGATGTCTCTGTCTTCTATCTTGCTTGGAAGTTTGTCGGGATGATCATCATCATCATCACGGGGATCATCACCTGGATCGTCGTCGCTTTCCTCATCTTCGTTGATCTTATGAGCATGTTCTGGTGAAAACACGTCACTTCGGTGGAAAACCTTGTGACTCTACAGGTCTCCAAGTTACGGAGCCTGACTTATGCAGGCGTTTCTCGGAGTGCGGTGCTGGCAGGTCCCACCACCGAGGCTTGGGGACCGTTTCGAGTGAACCTGACAGCTCGTTCCATCCCGTTCCTCTCGGCCATTTCCACCGCGACTCACCATGGCATGAGACCGCCACGAGGACTGTGCCGGGACCCGCGTAGCCGGTATCGTATGGCATGGTCCGTGCCCTTTCACATGGGGGGGCACTGGTCCCCAACGGGACGATGCCGTTTTCTCGGCCGAGCCTCTCCTCTCCCAGCAGTCTGTTTGGATCAGACCGGCCGAACCCGGAGATCAGAGAGACGCTCCATTCAGACCAAAGGCGATGGTGACGCACCGCTCTGGAGCTAGCTGGGGATCCATCTTGGTGATGGATCCGTCTCCGAGTTCCCAACATCCCACCCTGCATGAACTTGAATCCATGTTTACTATATATTATCCTAAAGCAATTACATACAATCAGTGCATGTCGAAATAAACAGCATGTGCAGCTCCACATCTCCAAAAAGGAGGCTGAGCAAAACCATGTCCCAAGACTCTTGGACGTTGAGGTGATGACCCTTCGAGACCCCTTGGAGATGGTCATCTCCTCCTATTGCAGCACGGCAAGATTGCGAGATCGAATCGTTTGAGTAGAAGAGAGCCCCTAGAAGTCCAAAGACTATATTTTGACCGGCTGAAGGTTTCAGGAAGTTCCCGTACTCAGTTCCCCTAGTCAGACCATTCTTTTTATAGTCTTTGACTCCCAGGGGAGCTGTTCCCGGTGTTGCCCCAACTGTTGCTCTTTGTTGCTCCCGACGCTCCTCGTGCGACGCAGCGGACGTCTTCGTGAACTTGGAACCGACGCGCCGTCACATGCGACGAGGTCCCGGGCGCACATGTGATGGGAGCTGTCCGTGTCCGAAGTCGAAGCAGATCATGTGATGGGCGGAGTGAAGGTGTTTTAGGAACGTGACCAATGGTTAGGGAGAGGAAGTTGAAGCATCTTCGGGTGGGCAGGTGGTCCAAAGTACTCCGGTCACTCCAGTTCTAGGAGTCCAAGATGTGTTGACATCCGGAAGCTCAGGTGGTGACATCCGCAACGCGGATGTTCGACTTCCACGATGAAGACTGGCGTCCATGTGGTGTTGTAGATGAATCATCTCCTCATATCCAAATCCAATCCATTCAGCCCATTCAACCCATTCGCCTCACACCTGCAGCCGCGTGCCGCGCGTTCTTGGGGGCACAGGAGAAATGGTGAGTGGCTGTGAAAAAGAGGTGTCTGTGGATAAAAAAGATACTTTCTAAACTCAATGGACAAGAGCCGTTTCCATCCACCATCGCCCTAGGAGTGCAGGAAAGACCATGTTTGAAGGGGTCTGACGAAAAGTGATCCTAAGAATCCTTGGGCTGTCCATGGCAGGAGTCGGACCCTCCATGGCAGGGGTCCGGGGCCGAAGCAAGCCCTATCTGTTGGTTCAGGAGCCCGGATTCTTAGGGTACTTCACTTCATTTCACTTATAACTGGTGTCAGAGTCGTCGCACTGGACTTCTTCACATAGCTTACAAGCTCAGGTACGACATCCAACCGCTTCACTCTGCCTTGCACTGCCCGCTTCACCCGCGCGAATCCATCACGTTGTGTTCCCTGGAATCGTTCCGCTGGGTGCTCGTTCGTGTAGCCGCGCTGCGCTGCTGCTCGAGGCTACCACCACCGTGGCGCTGAGCCCAAGAACCCCATCTCCGTTGGGATGGTCGAGCTGGGTCCCAAGGTGCCCGGCGTGCCGGCGGTGCTGCGGGAAACGGCGAGTTCGGCGTGAACAGGGGCGGTCGGGGCGCTTGCACACCCGAGGACGCCCAAGCCCGTAGGATTCGGGTGGTATACCATTGATTTAGTAGCCTGAATATGCCTGAATCCCGGAAGAATACCATTGGTTTTAAGTATATGTGACACTACAAAGCCAGGTCCTAAGCGTTTTGGAATCCTCATTTTGTTCCGGCGAAAAAGGAGCATCCAATGAGTGTCCAACCTGAGTGTCCAACCTGGTCGTTCATGTGCTTTTCATCCCGTGCGAGTCCGTTCCTGCCACGCCATGAAACGGGGGGGTTGTTGTGAACCACTGGTAGTACGGCCCCGTTCGTAGCGTCCTTGCTCCTTTTAGTAAGGCCAGTTTCGCCCCGTTCGTAGCTTTCAGGGGGGTGTTGTTTCCAGGTCCACGCCATGTCCAGCCAACCCACTTGCTATCAGCGAGCAATGGCGAGAGACCTCGCGGACGCGAGGCGTGATCGAGCGGCTTGCGCAAGAAAGCAGGGTAGCAAACAAGCCAGCCAGCCACCTGTGACACGCCAGCTGCTTCTAGCTGACGCTTCCAACGTGTGTGAAAGCCCACAATGGCTCCAGAACCAGATCATTTTTCAAGACCTGTTTTGCTGGTATTCAATAGCAAAAGACTGGAGAACTTGGAGAAACAAAAAGGCAGCAAGCTCCACTCAGTGATAGAACTGCGAATGGACAGTCCGCAAAATCACGGCAATTGTTTGCATGCACCTTGAGGCATGGTTTCAGGTTTGACAAACTGCACTTAAACTGCAGCATCGACTGCACAAATGGTGCGTTCGACACCAAAGCAGAAACGATGGAAACTTCGAGCTTTATTGAATATTCAATGAATGTTTAAGGTTTCAAAGCCAACATTGCCCATTGGGAGTTTACTAAACCATTAAAAGGTCGATGATTTGCAAGTGCCACATCTGTTTTACAGCCATAAAGTCACAGCAAAACTTCGGCACCTTGGCAACTCTGTTGCAAACCTGATTCCCTTCACCGGAACCCCAAACAAGACCCTAGTAGCAAGGACGCTACTAGGGTGGAGGCCATCGCTACTAGGGTGGAGGCCACCTTAGGATGGCCATCGCTACTAGGGTGGACACCGAGCCTGTCTTTCACCTCCGCACAGGAGGGCGTCCCAGAGATGGCCAAGCGCATGGCGCCGATCATACGCGATATGTTCGAGGTCTTCCAGGCGCCTTTCGGGTCTCACAGGTCTCAACCAGGAGGGCACTTTTCGGCCATCTCCTGCCTTCGGTCGTGCGGGACGGGTGCCGTCCCGCCGTCCCGTCGTCCCGTCCGCCGTCCTTTCGGTCACTTGGCTCTGGTGGGGGTTTCACCATGGGGCACGACGTTCCTCCAATGTTCGACCCGTTTGGGGTCGACGGGGTGTGTCCACCGGTGGTCTCCTTCCGCCGCTGGTTCCGGTCCGTTGGTGTAAGGGGTCCGTCTGGTCCGCTGGTCGACCCAATGACTGGATGGATCCGGGTTTTGGGGTGTCGGAACGGCTAAATCCGAAGGAATCAGATCTCTAAGCCATATCTAGTAGGCCTGGGAGTCCAGTCGACTATCAAAAGGAATGGTCTGACTAGGGGACCTGAGTGCGGGAAGTTCCTGAAAGCTTCAGCCGGTCCAAATATCGTCGAAGTGGACTTCTAGGGGATCTAGAGTTGATAGAAGAACCAACACCAGCGTCACCCTATCCGTCCGGTGACCCTTGGATCCAAAATGGTCATGAGATCACCATTCATGTCTCATGCGGGGGCCCTTCAAATGTCACCCAAAGAAGCAAAGGGCTCCCCATACACCGAGGTCGTTTTGGTCATGCTCAGGTGGCCAAGCCGGAAGTCTATGTGAGCCACTTCGAGAGAATGACTGGGAGCTCCAGCGGTTTCAATCAAACTGTGAAGGAGATTGGGGAAGCTGTTGTTGTTTCTTTCTTTTTTCAGTGTGTCTTTTAGACAGGTGAGTGGATGTGACAGGGGCACACCGACTACCTCCATGGAGTCCGCACCCCATCGAATGTGACTGCTGGTGTAGAAGAACACACCTCCATGGATAGCTGGGTTCAGCATGGGGAGGCCTGATGTCGACGTGCTTTGCCGGGGGCAAACTGTAGAGTTGGGAGACTGTAGTGTTTTGCACCATTCCCTACAGGTCCAAAGACCCCGTAAAACCGGGTCCTGGAGGTCCTGGAAGCCTCCTTGAGTAGTGATTTTGTATGATCAACTTCAGTAAGACGTGATGTCTTTGACCTGTAGCAGCGGGTCATTTTCATGGAGCAAATGTACCGGAGACCCCACGGTCGGGGTGATTGATGGACACCCTGTTCAACACCACAAACAGGGGCTGCTCAACACCACAAACAGGGGGGCCCTGGTATGTAGGGCAGGCCATGAAATTAAGTCACCACTCCGCTACTTGGTGTTGTTTTCACCCACCCCACACCAGCCCCTGATATCCCTCGGGATCCAGTCGTATTCTCAGGTGATGTGTACTACCCAGACGCTCCAAACAGCTCTTGGTCCCTCAAAACCCTAGGGATTGGTTCGGGTCCAGACCCCTACTTAGGAGGGTCCGGCCCCTAGTTAGGAGGGTCCAGGGTCGCGTCTGGGTACTCTGTTTGTTTGTAGGGATGTCATCGGAGTGGAGGACAGCGGCATACGGCGGTCAGAGGTCGATTTGGTGATGAGCTACAGGTCGATGTGGATATCCCTGCTGCATTTTGGGGGGGATGGTGGTTCCCCCAGTCAACATGTGGAAAAAGGATGAAAAAGGATGAAAGGTTTGGTTCACCTGTCGTTTCCAGGGAAACGGTTTGAGAAAAGAAGGAGAAGGAAGAAACCCGTGCTGCCGGTCCACAGCATCGGACCCATCTTTTTCATCGACAAATAGGACCTGGCCGGGCATCGACCCCCCCTGGAAGAAGGGAAATAGACCAAACTCCATTCATTCAAATCCTCCCTGTCAAAGTAGAGACCCACATATGGTGGCAGGGGAGTAGAAGAACCGGTGGCCACATGGAAGGCACCGAGTTATAATCCAAGTTCGATTGGCAGATCGTTGCACCGTGTTACGTGCAGCCACTCACAAGAGTGGGATCTTACTATGCATTTGCTTGGTGGTTTTCAAGCACTTCGTGCTGTTCCACCTTGACCAGTGCCCAGAGCTGATTCCTTCCAGTCATGAACATGGATGACTATCTCTCCGTCATGCAGCCGGTGACTCATCCACAGAGGTTGAAGGACCCTATAGGACCCTACTGGGGTAACCGAAGGATAGCCTATAGGCTTCTTCAACCTCTGTTGGCACCTGGTGCTTTCACCAGGAGATCTTGGACTTCCTCTTCGGCGACGAGGTCTCCGACCACTTCAAGCGCCGTGCACTGGACGCGGCGGCGCACGAGGATTTGCCGCTCGCTCCGCACGGAGGAGCGTCGGGTCCCAACGGTGGCAGTTCAGCACCCCGTTCAGCATGTGGCTGCGTATTTGAATAGGGGGACCCGGTTTGGGTCAGAACCGGGAAGTCTCCCTGTTTGAGCCACTCCATGGTGCTGGTTTGTACATTGACACATTGACCCCTTTTCAACCACCTCAAGGTAGGCATGTCATGTATTTTGAAGTGTTTAGGCAGTGAGGGCTGTGCTCGTGGGCTACATGTTCTCAATGTCCAGGAAGCTGAAGACATATGAGTCGAAGGCATTCTCGGAGGAAAAGCAAGGGAGTTTCTTTTGAATGAGCACATTGTTGTAGATAAAGTCTATCTAATGTCTTCTTGGATCAACAAGCATGGATGGCCTGACTCTGTTGGGTGTTGTTTTGAAAGCTGGGTATACTCTTCCTGGTCAAGAGAACGGAGTCTTGCAGGATCGAACGGAAGGACCAAAACTGGTAAGCCATGATCCCGGCAAGAAGCGAGTGCTTTGACACCGTGGACCCACCACCCCCGGCAGTCACCGGACCGACCGGACGGGGGTGCCAGCGGACCGGCCGGGACGGGGGACACTGAAGGGATTGGATCTAATGGTCCCAACAGAGGTGGTCAGAAGCCTATACCCTAGCCTTCAAAGACCATTAAAAGAACGGTTGAGCTGGTGGTGTAGTGTAAAAATCGTTAGTAAAACAATGGTTCTTTGGTAAAGACCATTAAAACAATGGTTGTTTGAATCCTAGGGTATAGGCTATCCTTTGGCTCCCCCAACCTCGCTATCCGGTCCTTCAAAACCTCTGTTGGTCGTCCACCAGTTGCGCTCCGAGTTGACAAGCGGACCGTTTGGGCCCATCGGTTCGGAACTGCCCCGGTGGGCCGGGAACTCAGGTCCGACTTCCGATTTGGCAAAAGGTCCATGGCACTCCAAAAGGGATTTCAGACATCCCATGGAATTGACTTCAGGAATCGGACATGTTTTTCATGGAGACTCCAACCGAGGTTGAAGAACCCTATAGACTATCCTGTAGCTAGCCCAGTAGGGCCCTAGTTCAGGTCACTTAACCTCTGTTGGCTTCCATCCAAAAGACCCTTTCGGCCAAGCAACGGACCCCCAAAAACGTCCAGGTCCACCACCCCGTCCCGGTCCCACCCCCTTAGGATTCAAACAACACCCCATGGACTTTTGGACGACCAGGAGTCACAGAGCTCGTTTAGTCGTCCCATCCAGGGGCAGTGGGGAGGTGACGTGACGGGGCACCCCTGGAAGAGGCGAACCGGCACCCCCCTGCGGTCCGTCCGCACCCTGAAGCGGTCGAAGGTGACTGCAGGTCCCGTGTCATTTCGGAACAATCATGCCCTATAGGGATCCACTGCCACCTTCTCAGGTTCGGTACGACTGGGCCCGACCCAGGCACCTACATCAACAGTCTCCAATCACCTAACCTGAGAAGGTACGACTGGATCCCTAGGGATGAACTATCTGAAAAGCGTACCTAACGCTTCCTGTCTGGTGTCCAATGGAGGCCGAAAAAGTCGTGTAGGGTTGTCCAGTTAGGTGAGCCGTTGGAAGCGGCTGGTAGCGTCATCAAAAGATGTATCGAAACGTCATCCAAACGGAAACATGAACACAAAAGAGGCTGTGGGGACAGAATCGGAGCCATCAATTCCACATGGTTTCCACCATTTACGGCTTTGGGTGATTGCCTTTCACCTTCCCTTCAGTCAACGAGGGAATCGTCCCCGGTTTCCAGTTCAGGAACCGCGGGGAGGATGGCTTCAGCTTCTCCTTTCACTCGGAGGTTCCCACTGGGGCGGAAACGCAGCGGGTGATCCAGTCGTCTGTCCACCTTGGTGCTTCCCGGACGACGTCAGGCCCCACCATGGATTTTATAGTCTGAAAACCGAACCACCATTGTTTCACTAAGGATTTTTACACTACAAAGTCAAGTGGTTCCCTATTAAAAGAACCGCCGAAGGCTAGGGGGGGTTCGGTCCTGAAGCCTTTCACCCCGGATAGCCGGCGCTGAACCCTGGGAGTGTTCATGCACGGCGAAGCTGTGGCCAGTTGGGGTGTCACAAAGGAGGTTTTCGGTGCCCAGTCTTCTGAAGACGAGCACGGCCTTGAGAGGCAGGTTCCACATGGTTCTGGGTCAAGTGAACACCGAAACATCTCGCATTCTTCATCCATGAGGCAGGGTCTGATCCATGCCCCCGCATGACCGGCAAGGTCTCCTTTAGCCTAAGCATGAATTCACATCGTCATGAAGTTACCGAGAGGCTGGTGTGTTCCAAAGATGGTGTCAACTTCCTGAATCGTCAACGACAGGTCAAAACACCGGGGCCGCTCTTACACTCCAATGTGGAAGTGTTGATTGATCAACAGTCCACATTCGGAAGCGGTTTTTTGCATGGCAGAATCGGAGGATCCTTTGAAGTAGATGACTCGAAGTAGGTGGAACCTGGTGGCAGGTCGCTACATGGTGGCCTCAAAAGAGGTTCCAATCTCGCGCAAGTGATGGAGCGCTTGCGGAGGGACCTTAAGAGGGGTCTTCTGTTGGTGTCACCTCATTTAGACGGTACTACCCTAGCCGTGGTGTACTCTGAAGCTTTGCCACTGTGCTTTCATTGAATCAATCGAAGAAACTTCTGCAATACAAACAAGTCTATTCACCAATCGCTTGCTCAGATGCAGGACATATTGCAGATGTTTCTTGCTCATGAAATAATTGTGCCAATGAAACAAACTTCCGAACAGCTCAAGAAACTTCTGAGCAGTTAAACAGATGGTCTCTTTTGTGAAGGTCCTTGACTTGTGCCCATGAATCATTCACCCAACTCTGCATTTGAGCAGCTGACCTCACGGAACACGCCATGCCGACGCGTCCTTCGACTCGTCCGCTCCGAGGCTGACAACCAAGTGAACCATACCAGCCCCTTGGACTTCGCCGGGGAACCGACGCGTGCGTCGTCCGTCCGTGTAACCGGTCGTGGGCCTGGCCGCGGATGACATGGCGCCAACCCCATGAAACAATACCCAACCAGAAGCAGTTCTGGTTCTTCCAATATGGCCATTAAGATCCTTTACACAAAGTGCTTGTTGTTTGGGGGAACCATCCATTGATTTAGACTTGGGTTTGGCAAGCATCTCATCCGTTTGCGGATACCGTTTTTGTCCCCCATCTCCGATCCTCCTTCTCCGATCGCGCACTCAGGTGATGATCAAGAACTGAATGAAGCACGGTCCTATTTGTCGCTGGTGGACCAGGAGCTGACCGCCTTAGGCTTCGCCGTGGATCGACCGTGGCGGAAGTGTGCGGATCGACGCATGGATAGAGCGATGGATCGAGTTCATAGTGGGCAATACCATAGATGGCATGTTACTGTTGGTTGGGTTGGTTGGTTGGTTGGTTAGTTAGGTGGCTGACAGAAGAAGGGACACCCTCAAGTGTACCACCCGTATATGCTACCATGAAGCGACCCCTCTCTTCTTCATCATGGCGTCTTGTGCCGGCCGACCCAGCACGAGATCTCCGCCTGGGTGTATCTGGCCCTTCGGCCGAACGCGGCGCCAGTCGACCCGCTTCGGAGCTTGCTTCGGTGGTGAAGCCGTTCGCTGCGCCGTTCGCTTCCTCCGACTATCCCAGTTGGGTACCCCACCCAGACACGACACATGGGACTGCCAGTTTGTGCTGATCAGGCCAGGGGTGGTGCCAGGGGGGGTCTGTCTGGGGCGGCAGTCCGGACTGGTAGTCCCATGGACGTCGTGTCTGGGCCAGGTAGACCGGGTCCTAGTGTCACGATGCCAAGACCTCTCTTGGTGTGTTGGATGCCAAGCATCCCCACGGCAGCCGGTCTGAAGTCGAACTCGCAGTCCGACCACTGTTCGTGCGAGGGTCCTAGCCTAGATCCCATGAGAGGTTAAGTGACCTGAACTAGGACCCTACTGGGGTACCTATGGGATAGTCTATAGGGTCATTCAACCTCTGTTGGTCTTTTTCGAGTCCAGAACGGTCGACCGCAATTGAAGAAGATGGTCTGACGAGTTCGGTGACCGAAGTCTATACGGAATTGCTTGAAACCTGGTGGTCCCCCCCCAAATCCTCAAACTGGACTCTGCTTCTCCTGCTTCTGGGCAAATCACACAAGTGGGCTTCAAGCCAAACAGCTTGGCCAGCAAAAGTCTTCTCCCTGGATGGCCAGCTTCGGGTTTTTTCTCACCCAGGAGCTTCTTGAAGAGCTCCTCCATTTCCAGAAGGCCCTCGGCTACCCCCCGACCGCTGTGAAGTAGCTCTTTTCACCCGCAGCACCCGGCCTCCCAGCGAGTGCGCTGGGGGGTGCGGTGGTATCGTGTGACTTCCACTCCCTGGAATAAGCATGGTCCAACGTGGAATGGGATTTCAGAGGACCCAAACTCCAAAAGACCTGTTTACAGGTCGCGACTCTTGGTGGGAGCATGTGGGGAGCATGCTCCACGTCAAAGGTTCCGTGGTTCTTCCAGGCAGTGTAGATGGTCAACAGGTTGCTGGAGCCCACTGAAGTCACAGTTGGGTGTCAGGGTCGTGGCTCGAAGCCAGCCGCCGATTGGAGAATGAAAACATCCGGCGTCTACTGTGGTTGACAGAAGGTGGTGAAAGACAGACCGCACCAAGCCCTACATGTCTTAGACCGATGGGGCTCCAGATCGACCACCCACCGAACTCGGGGGCCTCCAGACGTGCCAGGGTTGTTGTTTGGTCCTTTGTCCCCACCTGTCAGCTGAGGCTAGGTAGATTGTAGAAGAGGATCCCTCCCGTCTGCAGGGCCACCTTTTGCTAGTTCCAATGATCTCAAGGAGACGTGCAGAGTAGATCGAGTACACCAAATTCACACGATCACCGAACTCGGTGGCGTTTTCGATCCGGGTTGATGTGCCATCTACGACTAGTCCATACCGAGCTACGACTAGTCGGTCTGTCAGATCTGTACTGATTCCATAACTCAGTCTGTATACGACGAGCTATATTATATAATATATATATATATATGGTTTCCTCTGGGCATTGGAAAAGTAGGCATCCATCAACAGCTTGGTAACACATCAACAGCTTGAGCAGATACTGTCTTTTCCGTAACTCTCATGAGCTTTCCAAAAGAAGTGCAGGGATGTTCTCCATCACGTGCGGTTCGTCGCCCGGTCCACGGCTGGACGTCTTCATCGTTGGACACGAACGACTGACAGCTGTGAGTCTATCGAACGGCTCAAGCCCATCGATGCCATCGACCGAAGCCATTCGGGATGAGCAAACCCCTTCTGAACCCTTCATATGATGCTCAGCTGAAGCACCAAGTCGTGTGCGGAAGCACCAAGAGTTTGGCGGAAGCACCACTGAATGCACTGAAGCACCAGGCCCACCTGCCAGGGGGGAATCTGTTCGAAGGATCGCCAGGAGTGGTCTGGGAAGGCCTGGGTGGTTCAATTCTTCTCCCATCCGATGTGACAGCGGCACTCCTGGAGGAATGCTTCTCTTTTCTTCCGAAAGTAGGTTCTTCTCATCCAAAGTCGGACTGCTTTGCCACCATGTCACCATGTCACTCCTGTCCTCGGGGAGTCCTCGGCTGTCAACCCCCACAGTTGGACCGTTCGCAGACGAATGGGGTTCTTTGGAGCTACCCTCTTCCGACCACCAACCTACGACACCGCGATGGCCTATAAAAACCTACTAGCGATGCGCGCCACGAGCGACCGGTACGGCGCTTTCGATTCGACCCGGGTGGCGTCCTCGTGTCCTGGTCGATGGGAGCTTCCACGTCCATGCGACCGGGGGAAGCACAGCTTGGCCCGCTTGGTCCACCCTGGAAGTTGACCGGACCTGGCGACGTGGAGCTGTCCGTGGAAACCAGCCCAATTCGGCCCATCCAAAAGGTGAGGCTGCTTGGAAGCCCTGGGGTCAATCAATGAATACGAGCGTCTACCTGGCACTTCTAGACACGTATCCTGTTTGGAGACCTTATAAGCAGTCCAGCCAAGTGACCCCGACTTGGACATCAGCTGACTTGAGACCTCTTGGTGCTTGGACAACACCCAAGGTCTCAGCACCGGTCATTGTGATACACTCCAACAAGCAAACATGGCATCTTATTAGACATTAGACCCATAAGGTGATGGTTTATTTGCCCTATGCCCTATGGTTCATCCCCCTTCTGGTGAATATGTTGTTTCAAGGTGCCTGGAGGCAAATCCAAGAGTCACCATGAGTCACCTAAACCCTGGCAGGAGGACTGAAACCTGGTGTCGACCATTCTGTTCATGTACTGTCATCGGACTCCTGGTGTCCACCGGAACCTAAGTGCCAGCCATCTCAGCGAGCAAGTAGCAGTAATGTAAACGCTTGAATTAATAAAGCTCGCCTCTCATATAGTGATCCTCAAATAGATAGAAACGGTGTCCAATACATGTTTAGGGGGGAGATTTGCTTTTCTGTCTATTTGGAGATGTGTATATTGAGGTTTTACCATCCAAACATGAAAGTTTTATGAATCAAGAGTCTCTGCATGACTTTCTCCACTCAGGAAATTGTCTTGGCTTCTTCCCGCACTGGCCCTGTCCGCCGTAACCTTCACTGCCGCCGCTGCAGAGCAACTGTGGCAGGCCGAATGTCACCACCTGAAAGAGGGCAAGTTGAAGACCCCAGAAACGACCCATGGGACTGCCATAGGACTGCCGCCCCAGACAGACCCCCCCTGACACCACCACCCCTGGCCGTTTCTCGGCAGTCCGTCATGGCAGTCCTATGGCAGTCCCAGACGTGTCGTGTTTGGGGACTGGATTGCTTTTCAGACTGCCCTAAGAATCCGGGCCCGAACCAACAAGATAGGGTTTGGTTCGGCCCCGGACGCTTGCTAGGGTGGCTGCGTAGACGGGTCGATGTCCCTTTTCCCTCCTACCATGGTCGACGGGTCGAGGTCTTCGCGCTGGAAATCACCATTCACCATCGTCGGGGTGTCCGGAGATCCCAAACGATGTGTAGAATAGGAGTAGCCCTTGTTACGTAATGTTGACATAGGATTAAGTAACCACCCCCTATTAATCAATCCCAGCTCGACCCCTCCAATACTAAACTAATTGAAAACCTAGATTTCCACCTTGGCATCACCCTAATAATTTTTTGCCTGTGCAGAAACCTCCCCCTATTAATCAATCCCAGCTGCCCCCAAAAAAAAAAACAATATTGTTTATTATTTAGCTAATATATGTTAATATTACATTCTTTTAGCTAGTCTCCAATATCTTTTATATGCTTTTTATGTTTTATTTTCTTTTGCTGGTATTCAGTATTTGCATCTCCTCATCTTCCTGGTCCTCACCACCACCTCTCAACTGCCTCATCCTGCTCACCAATCCTTTTGATGGCTTCTCCTCAGGTCTCATGCTACCAACCATCCCGCAAAACCCCAAAAACTCTCTAGCAAAAGTATTTCATTTTCCCTTATTAAAACTCTATCAAAATCTTAACTTTTTCAAGCTCACAAAGGGTACCCCTCACAGAGGCCCTACCCCCCCCAATAGTAGGACCACCTCCCCCTATTAATCAATCCCAGCTGCCCCAGAAAAAGAAAAAACATATAGTATACTTTGTATGTGTAATTCTTTAGTGTTTTCTTTTTTGCTAGTATTCAATATCTTCATCTCCTCATCTTCCTGATTCTCACCACCCATTCCATCTTCCTCATCAGTTCACATCCTATCCCATAAGCTCCCTTGGAAAAACAACCCATGGATCAATCTAACATGAACACTCATCCAAAAGTTCTCATGTGGTTTCCAACTCTTCCAACATTTCATCCCAACTCTTCCAAATACAATTCCCTTTCATCTCAATTCTTCCAAATACTAATTCCCTTTCATCTCAATTCTTCCAAATACTAATTCCCTTTCAGCCCAATTCTTTCAAATACTAATTCCCTTTCATTCCAATTCTTCCAAATCAAAGTCCCTTTCATCATCAGGTCATCAGCTTTATTAGGGGGATGTGATCTCCAAAACCTCCAATCTCAAACCTTGTTGACCTTGTTGACCTTGAAGGGGGGAGGGGGGGGCCGTTGATTAATCCTACGTCGAGATTAAGCTTAGCTTCTAGCAACCTCATATGTCATGGCCTCCAACCTAGCTTCGGACACCAATTGGATGGTCCAGGATTGCTTTTAAGCCCACACTTCCTGGTGCCGACCAGCCGCGAACCTGTGCGTTCCGCAGTGGCGTACCTTCGCGGGTTCCTCCCTCACCTCAGGCCGCGGGGGAGTTCTGCAAGGCCACCTGGACGAAGAGGACCCGAAGATCAGGTGGTAGACATGGATTGCATGGTGGTTCTCGTTGGAAGAGGAGGTTCCGAAGACTCAACAGGTGCTTTTCACTCACTCACTCCACGAAACCATGTGATGTCTTCGGAACCGAGTGCATGCGAAACCTGTGCTGACGAAGTGGAACATAGGGCGCTGGAAGACGAAGTTGAGAATCAAGCGATTGCAGAAGACAACTCATGGTGACATTGTCCCCTTTGAAACTTCCCAGACATGATCTGCAAAAGTATTATAGAACTTGTTTGCAGATAGAAAGCTCCAGCTTTTTTGTGTCCATGACATTGGTCACTTGGAGACCAATTGCCAACTGCCTTCTGAACGGGTGGACAAAAAGCCCTCTTCCTGGATCGTTGCCTGGGAGGTCTCCTGGGAATTCTGTTTTCACGCCCAAACAATCCATTGGTGGCGCCGACCTACATGAAAACCCACCCCAAAACCACCGTCGTCACGTCGGCCATGTTGGTCATGCGTCTGCGCCACGATGGATTCCGGGGGCAGTCAGTCGACCGTTTGCCCGAGCCAAGGACCAACACCAGCACGGCCCAGGGCTGTTTCAAACGTCTTTGGCCCGCCGCCACGCGCGGTCAAAGCCTGAAAATCCCCTGGACAAGTGTTTCGACTCGAGAAGTGGTCGACGGCCATCGCTAGTAGGTTGGAGGCCATCGATCTTAGGTTGGAGGCTGTCGCCAGTAGGTTGGAGGCTATTGCTTGTGGCTTGAAGTCTTCCCTTGGTATGGGCGCAGTTAAAGTGGAGGGATATGGAGGGAGGTTCTTTTCTTCCACAAGAGAATGGGAATTTCTATCCAACCCTGCAAACAAATAGACGTGGTTGAACCAAATGGATGATTTGTGGCGGAAATGGTGTCTTGGCTGGCGAATCGTTCCTCAGTTTTTGTTGCAGGGTCATGCGTTTATGGCCAAGCAGAAGCAAAACCAGCCCATTTGGAATCACCATGGAACCATTACTAAGCAGTGGGAGTGGAGGAAGAGGTCGAGCTCCGCAGCCGCTTCACTCCTTCGCGGGGTCCCGGCGTCAGCCGTCGCAAGCTGGGACCGAACCAGAAGGACCCTTTGAAGGGCGAGACGTGGCATGTCAAGAGAGGTAGGTAGCGAGTTCCGTGACCTGAAGGAGTCGGACCCTCACGAGTCAGTGGGGTACCCATTGTGCATGGGATAGTCGAATGAGTTCAGGTCCCAAGAGAACCTCTGTTGGTACAGAAGTTCACACACCAAGTCCACCAGCAACCAGTCACCGAACGACAGATGCTGCAGGGTATTCTACTTCTTCTACGCGTTCACCGGCCGTGGGATTCGAAGTAGCAGTCCTGCTACTCCGCGACTCTGTTTCTGTTGGGATGAAGCTGATGAAACCACGAGATCCAAGAGGAGGGCCCTCAGAAATGAGGAAAGCACACTGAAAGAAATGTTACTCTGACGCCATAGCGCCAAAGAGAGACCCACACCCAATATTGAAAATATAAACCTCGGGTGTACGAGAGCTGGTCTAGGAAAAAGTCGCTGAGTAAAGAACAATTGGCACGTCCAAAAAAGAGATACCTGTTACAGGAACCTAGTAGGTTGGAGGCCACGACTACTAGGAGCAAGGACGCTACTAGTAGGTCTTTGAAGCTTCTTAGTAACGTCTGAAGCTACGTCTGGGTGGAGGCCAGGTTGCCATGTTGGCTCGGTTGCCCAGACCTCCCGGGAGGAATCTACGGATCGGTACGTCCGAGGCGGGTCTATGTAACTTGCACGAGTCACAAAGCTGGCAGCCAGCTGCTGCGGAAGCTCAGCTGGCGAAGCGAAGCGAAGCGAAGGGCGTGACGGCGGGACGGCGATGGATCATCCAATGGAGTCATCAAAAGCCCCACTAAGAAGTGTCGTTGATCGTCCAGCTACCAGCACCTTCCAAGAGGAGGCTTTTGTATGACTTTTCCAAGTTGCAGGTGGTGACCTGGCAGGTTTCGGTCCTGGTGGAAATATCTCGAAGCCAAACCGGATGGTCCTGGAATGAATCCTCCATGCTATCATCGTCACTCCTTCTAACACCCCGGACATCCGATGTCGATGTCAGACACCGGTGTCCGACACCGCCGTTCCTCCGGCGGGTTGGACCAGGGAGACCCCGGCAACAACCATTCCCACCATGAGAGGTAGCCAGTGACCTGAACGAGGACCCGTCACCTGGAGTACCAAACTGGGATAGTCTAGTTCGGGTCATTCAACCTCCGTTGGTTCCCATAGGCCCAGTGGCAGGACCTTCATAGCTAGGGTGAAATGACCCGAGAAACCCCAGCGAGAAACGGTGAGTTTGGGAGCCTTTTTCACCAACATGTGGCAGGACCGGTCATCGGGGCCTCGTTCGGGGTCGCCTCTGGGTTGTTCAAACAGGAACGATCTGGTTGATCGTAGTGAAAAACAGCTGGTGGGCCACTTCTAGGGGATTTCTTGGGGGTCAGAGGAACTCTATCAGACCATGTCAGAGCGAGTTGACTCTGAGGTTTCACGTCAACTCGGTGACTATAGGAGTCCAGTCAACCTAATAGCAAAAGGAGCCTACAAGCGATGGCCTCCACTTTCTCTGAACGGAAGATCTGTGCCTTGAAGTCACACGACTTGGCTTCAAGACCTTGGCTTGAAGGCACGACGTGATGGGTCACAACGTTGCGAAAAGAACATATCTGCATTGTGCCCAATGATCCATTCACTTAGGGACGAAACACTCACGCTTGTGTGACTCCATGGTGATAGTGATATGCTCTTGAACAGAGTTTCAGCAATCGGTCCACCAGTCCGTGCTTTCCCCAGCCCGGGGACCAGCATGGCCTCCTCCAACCGTTCCGCCACCATGGGGCGCCAACGACCACCGGTGGCTCACAGGGGCACGGGCGCTCGCGATCCGCGTTCGCTCGCGGAAGGAACACCATGCGTTGGATCCTGGACCTTCTGGGCGCCCGGGAAGGCTGCCGGTGTCTTGGCTCGTACCGTTCCCTCATTCGTGCCGGGTCAGGGGGGGTGTGTCAGAGGCCAGAAAGAAGCGACGAAAAGAGTGGGTTTTGGGTGGGTTTTGTGCATCCAGAGTAGGGCAAACAAGGTGACCAGATGTGCCAACTTGCAGGCAAGGATGGTTATACTTGTCTGTCGTTGACTCGAAGGGCAGAAGAACGATTTTGGTTCAAGGGACCCTTTATGACAGGATGGTGGGATTTGAATGGATTTGAGGCAAAGCTGTGGGGCAATGATATTGGGAAGACCACGCTGATCTCTTCAATGGCAGGATATATGGGTCAAGAGCACGCCCCGCGTGCCCCGCACGCCCCACACCTCCACTGAGGTTCGTTCCGCCCGAGGTTCGTTCGAGGTGTTCCGCCGGACGTTCCGGGCGATGCGGAGACTCGAGGTATGACCATATGGGACAAGAGTTCCTCACCCACGGCGTGTGGGATCAGGAGCGGAGTCCTTCACGGGGCCGCGTCAAAAAGGCGTCCAAAGGCCAAGAACAGGAGGGAGGGAGAAAGCAGAAGGTGATCGGGCGAAAAGTGGACATAAGAAGAGGACACATTTGGCAACAGCTAAGCTGTGTGGTGCGATGTTCCCTGGTCACCATTGATCACCTCAACCCCGTCGAAGCAATGCCGTCGGTCGCTGTTATCCCCGTCGAAGCGACCCCCAAAGTGGCCGTTCATTCCAAGCGCAACAGCCGGAAGCGCCCAACAGATCGACACTGGGCGTCTGAGACCTCAGACAAGTAGTGGGTTGTCCAGGTGATGATCCCCAGTAAGTTACGTAAGAAAGCAGCTGGTAGAGGTCGATTGAGCAAGATTCAGCATGCAATAATCGAACACATGATTGACCAGACGTGCCAGGACTATAGTCTGGAAATGTCTAGATCTGGAAGCCTCTTTTCCAAGACTACGGGAAATCCATCCCCACCTCCCTTTGGAGCAGGTGCCGAACATCCCTCATACCAGGTGCTTGCTTGCTTCGCTGTTTTCCATATACCCTGGGAGTCCAGTCGACTGTCAAAAGAATGGTATTTGGGCGACCCGAGTTCAGGAATGTCCTGAAACCTTTAGTCGGTCAAAATATCGTCGAACTGGACATTTCTAGGGTTATTGCAGACCCCCCCAAAAAATCCTCAGAACAAAGCCTATCGGGGGCTAAGTTTACCACCGCGGATTTTCCAGTGGAACATTCACGGCACTTCGCTCGCTTCTTCGCGTCGAGGAGTGTTCCGAGCACCCAGCGAACGTGCGCTTCCACAACCACATCAGCGGCAAAGCGCTGCTGGAGCTGCGTGCGGAGACCGCGCAAACGGGCGGCTTTCGGGGAGTGCCTTGCAACGTGACGATGACCGAGCGTTCAGCCAAGTAAATAAATAGGACATGTTTAGGTTGGAGGCCATCGCTCTTAGGTTGGAGGCCACTGCTATCAGGTTGGAGGCCATTGCTATCAGGTTGGAGGTCATCGCTATTATGTTGGAGGCCATCGCTCTTAGGTTGGAGCCCATGGCCCATCGCTATTAGATTGGAGGCCATCACTCTTAGGTTGGAGGCCATCGCTAGTAGATTGGAGGCCATTTCTCCTGGGTTGGAGGTCATCGCTCTTAGGTTGGAGGCCATCGCTATTAGGATGGAGGCCATCACTAGTAGGTTGGAGCCCATCGCCAAAAGGTTGGAGGCCATCGCTCTTAGGTTGGAGGCCATCGCTATTAGGTTGGAGGCCATCGCACGGTTTAGCTGGCAGCTGAATATCAAAAAAAATCGGAGGGTGCGAGGTGGCAGCAATCGAAAAGCAGCAACTCCCGAATAGGTGATATCATGATTCTCTGACAAACACATCACATGGAAGTGGATGGCATGGTCCCTTGGGAGACGACTTTTCCTCTTGAAACGGGTGGTTTTCACTCTATAGTAGCTTCTTGTTACTATAGTAGCTATTTGCTCCTAGTAGTACGGCCAGGAGCCCCGTTCGTAGCTTCTTGAGTCAGAGTGTAGCTCTTCGGTGAGGCGAAGGTCCGCCTCGTCGAAACTCCTCGTCTTGTGGGTCACCCTTTTCGTCCGCCGGAAGCGATGAGAGTCGGTCCCCGGAGCTTTCTACCGCACAAAAGACACCGCCGAGGATGGCAGACTGCAATCTTCGGTTTCAACCGAAGACGACGATTCTGAGATGGTGTGAGTAGTTCGGTGAACCCAAAGGTTGGAAAGATCCTCAAAGCCTCGGTCGAACACGTCGAACAGGTCGAACAGGACGAACAGGACAGAGTGCCGATCATGTCGGGGGCTCTCCACCTCAGCTTCGCCCCACAAACAAGTCGGACCTGCGGTCGGGGGGCTGCTTCAGTCGGTCGACCAGTCGATCGACTGAGGTGATGACCATTCGAAACCCCTTGGAGATGGTCATCTCCTCCTATTGCCACATGGATGGCTCGGTAGATGATGAGACTCAAGAGAGTCGGCCTCTTTTGGATGGTGTGGAAAAACATGGAAAAACCACTGAAAGATCGAGGCCTAAGGAAGGATTTTACTGGTGTCCTCGTAGACCCCGAGCACAAAGGGATGGTTATGTTAAGTCATATGAAAATTCCACACTCAGTGGTCTTTTGAAGAGGCGCGCTGCTCAGGGGGCAAGTTAGAGCGTTCAAACAAGTGGCTTCCAGGGGGATCTTGTCTTCCAAGTGGTGTTAGGTGTGGTTCACTCATGTTGAGCTGGGGTGCGCCATAGGCTCTGACTGAGCTGCTTGGTATCTCATAATTACTCAAGGTTGCTTGTGACAGGAGTTTCAAGCTAAACCCTATATTGGAATTTGTAAGCTAATCCGCTTGGAAGGATAATATAATATATACCATGTTTGTGGAAGACCCTTTGCAACCGCAAATCTCGAACCGATCCCTATCCTTCTTCTAGATGTGTGTGTGTGGCTTGTCATGGTAAATCCAACATTATGTGTTTCATTGAGAAAATCACCAACCTACCAGAAAAAAATGCCGACCTTCAAATACCTTGCTCATGACACAGCTCATGTTCACAGTTGGGTTTCATGAGGATAGCTCCAGATGTTCTAGCTCATGGGCCACTGGACATTCCAGGCTTCAACTGGTCTTTGCTTTTGGGCGTCCAAAAGCAGATGTTCGAGGGGTTTGGGCCACCCATGAGACATCTTAGGACCCCAGACTGCCCCAACACGTCTCTACATTCGTAACAAGAAGCGCCCCGCAGCTAGCAGGGTGGAGGCCATCGCTCGATACGAGTTGATGACAGGTAGAAAGTCGGAACGCTTTCACTTCATCGGAACGCTTTCGCTTTCACTTCTTGATCTTGCGAGGATCAATACCTCTCGTAAAGTCTCCCAAATCTGCCCAAAGCAGCCGACATGGCTTCGCTCCAAAGGACCGTCCCCATGGCTCGACCGGTGGCTCGACCGAGAGGTTCGTTCTCAGACCGTCCGAGGCTACCACCATCGCGGCGCCGAGCCCTGGAACTCCATCAGTGACGGAATGGCCTCCATGCATCCCAAGGCCGACGAGCCGCTCGTTCGGGCCGGGAGCCCTACTCGCCATCCAACGAAACCGTGTGCGGCATGATTCACGAAAGAAGGCAAAGTAGGTGCCTTGCAAGATGAGTTCACTGTTCATCAAGAACTAAATGCACTAAATGTGTGTTTCTCCAGAAGTGCCAGGAAACTGTTGGACGCCTCAACTCCAGAAACCGCCTTTCTGTCTGAAGTCCTAAGAAAATGGTCCGAAAAAACGAAGCTCGCGCAGCCTCCGACGCAAAACGAAGCGCCCGATCTGCCGGCCAGGCCAGTTCAAAGAAAAGTTCCTTCACCCTAGGCTTCCAACAACCATTCATTTAATAGGCTGAATCCCGAATCAACTAAGGATTTAACTACAAAAACCAGGTCAACCTTTTCTTTATGGTCTTGGAAGTCTAGGGTTCATCTGCATCTGTCCGGATACCTCGTTCTTTCTGTCTTTCCAGTAGGGTCGAAGAAGAAAAAAATGCGTGGCCGAAAAGCACTTCAAATGAACTTTCAGGTCTTTTTTGAATCCGGTGGGAAAGAGAGGCCACAGTCTGCTTGATCCATTGCGCAAGCCCTGCGCAAGCAGGAGTTCAATACAGATCAGCTCAAAAAAGTGTCTTACCCAGACTCTCCATGAAAACAGCCCTTTCCTGGTCCCGAACCAAACCGGGATTGGTTCGAAGGTCCAGACGATTCGGGTGCGACCCCCAAAGGATTCGGGTCCAGGATCGCGTCGATTCCTGCGCCAAGGTTTCCAGGAATCGAAGACGCCTGGGCTACGCTGTGCACAGAGTGCACAGTTCAGGTACTACCTAAAAACAAATGGATGTTTCCCCAAACAGCCATTTCCTATGTAAAGGATTTCAATTGCCATATTGGAACAACCATTTGTTTCTGGTTGTTTGGGTTTCCAGGTACGGATTCAGTCCGGGCCTGGGTCGCTGTCTGCCGGAAGGCACCCAGTGCCGCTCCGAGCCGCTGTCTGCCAAACCGCGCACGTTTGCGAGGATGGCGTGCCCGAGATGGCCAGAAGGATGCTGCCCGTCGTCTACAACATGGTCCAAGCCTACCAGGCGCTGGGACGCCGCGGGCGCGGGCCTTTGGGGGAGGAGAAGGGGATGGAAATTCCAGTGGTATGATGTTGGTGATGTGGTTTTTCAGTCTCCGCATGGTCGCTGGTTGAAGTCGCCGCCTGCGACTCGCTGGTTGTGTCCTTCGCTTCGCGTCGCGCAGGTGACGAAGCCGGAAGTCTATGTGAGCCGCTTCGAGAGAATGACCGGTTCCTCGACCGGTTTCAATCAAACCGTACAGGACACTGCTGGCGGCGCGACCGGCGTAGTGGCAGTGGTGTGAAAAACGCGTTGTTGGGCGAAGGGAAGAGAAGTCAAGAGATGAAATCGGAGTTCAAACCAGGAGGCACCAGGAACAAGAAGCTACGAACGGGGCTCCTGGCATCGCTACTAGGGGCACCAAAGGGGGTGGTGTGCCTCGTCCGTCAGTGGGTGGATGTGACAGGGACACCCCGAGTTCCGGCACCCCCTCCCGACGGAGTCTGCACCCCTGACCCAACACCGAGACCGGCCCCGAACCAACTGCTACACCCAGACACTCCATACCTGGATCTTCCAACGACGTGCCCAAGCTTCTGCCTTTTAAGCCTGGTTTGATGGATGAAAAGGCAGAAATGGCCTGCACGTCGTTGGAAGATCCAGGTATATGCTTACATTGGGGTGGTTTTTGGGGGGTCAACTGATCGGCATACATGGCAGTCCCATGGAGTGTCTGGGACATATTGCTTCGGTCCCAAAGCCGCTGCTAACGGGTTGGGTGCTGCCACTGAGCTGGTTGGGAAGCTTGAGGCCGAATCGCCCGAAACAGGGCCCAAACAAGAACATACCATGACCAGTCACCCGCCCCAAGAATCATCATAGCAGGGCCCCCCTGGCAAACTGGAGTGTTGATTCCAATGGCCCTTAGCCGCCTTTTTGAAGGCGATTTAAGGAGCAATGACCTGGATCCTCCTGGTCTCCCCGAACCAACCCCGTTTGGGTGAAATCGTGTTCAGGGCACACAGGAGAAGGCCGAGTGCACTCACCGAGCCGACAGGAATGCTTGGGAGCCATGACAGTCGGAGATACTGCTCCGGCCGAGTGGACGACTCGGGAGCCACAGTGGTGTGGTGGAAGTGCTCCAAACTCAGATCCAACGAATCGGTCCAGGTGGGTGTCGTCCATTGGGAGACCCAACCGGATGTCTTCCAGCTTTTTGGGAGGGTCTCTCTATAGACACCTGGGTGTAGCGAACCCAAATTCTCCAGCTCCCAGATGAAGGTCTCCTCTATCTCCCAGGTCGCGCAGGGCACCGGTGATTCACCTGGTGCTTTCGCCAGGAGATGTTGGACTTCCTCTTCGGCAACGAGGTCTCTGACAACTTCAAGCGCCGGGCACTGGACGCCGCGGTGCATGAGGATTTGCCGCTCCATCATGCACCAGGGTGGGTTTTTTGTGTATGTGTGTGTGTTCGGGGGAGGTTTTTCTGTCGAAAGGACCTGTTAGATGATGAAGTTGAGGGAACTCATCCTGAAAAAGAGGAAAGACTGAACTGAGAAAAGAAAAACGAGGTAGGGATCCATCGCTACTTGCCAAGGGAGGAGAAACAAAAAGAGGCGCCAAAGAGAGTTAGAAATCACTAGATCCCTATATGTGTCTCTTTCCTTTCTTCTTTTCTTTCTTTACGTTCTTTTCTTTTGTTCCTGAACAAGAAAACATAAAAATCATAAAGTAGGACCTACAGAAAGAAGGACAGGCAAAGGAAAAGGGAAAAGAAAAAGAAGTTCCTATATCGATGACGTCAAAGAATCCTGCAGCCTTGGGCCCCGCAACGCAAGGGCCAGGCCATCCGTAGTCAGCCAATCCGTAGCGTCCGGGGATCGCAGTGTCCGGGCCCCGAAAATCCGCACCGTTGTTCGGCCCTTCTTTCGGACCTCTCCGTGCTCCCACCGAGAAGAGAGGGACACATCCGACAACAAAAAGACACAGGGAACGGGGCCATGAGAATCAAATGCCAGCTGTGGGGCTTACAACGGCACCAGGATTCCCGTACAAATGAAAGGATCGTACAACAAAATGACTGGTTCAGGTGCCGTGAAACACACACTCCGTGATACACGTAGTGGGTGAAAACGGTGTGGCCACCAACAGAGGTAGCCAGTGACCTGAACGAGTCGGACCCGTCACCAGGGGTACCGAACTAGGATAGTCGAACGTTCGGGTTGTTCAACCTCTGCTGGCAGTTCGACTTGTTGAGTTTGTCAAAGGAAAAGTCCCAGTAGTCACATCGCTCGGGGTGGTGTGGCGTTTCGTCGTCCCATCCGGTACCGGGGCCGGTTCCATGTGACGTGCGTGAAACACCCATTTCTCCCTGTCGGTCCGTCCGCACCCCGAACCGGTCCGGTCTGGTGACTGCGGGTCCATGAAAGGTCCATTTCTCCCTATCCTTAGTAGTAACAAGTGCATCGCTTCTAGTAACAAGTGCCTTACTGCTAGTCTACAAGGTTCGCTACGAACGGGGCTCCTGGCATTCGCTACGAGCGGAGCGATCGGACGCTACTAGGTTGAATGTGTTCTCAATGGACTCAACTCCGATGGCCCCATCGTCTCAGCTACCAGGAACCGCGGGGAGTTCGGCTACTCCTTCACCGTGCGGAGCCGAGGATCCGCGCGCGGAAGCGTCTCACCCACCAGTGAGTTCAGGGTCCAAGAACGGAAGAAAGGACCACCAAAAACTTTTCCAAAGCCCAGGTCTGTACAGAAAACAGATGGTCGAACAGAAAACAAATGGTCGCCTATAATCATAGAGTATACCATGGTATACCATGGTATACCTAGATCTTCCAACTATTCAAAATGTCTGCACAGTTGGAAGATCTGGGTCTGTTTAAGCTCAGACGACTTGGCGGCTTCGCCGAGATGAGTCAGACGCCTCCGAACTCACCGCGGGTGGTTTGAGGTTCATCAGATGGTCCGTGGTAGATCAACCCCTCAGTTGTCCGGGATGCCGAACATTCCTGACATGTTCTGGCTGTCTTCAGTGATGCAAGCTGGCTACTGATTGTGTTCGGCTAAAGAGGGTCATGGTCCTTTTGATGTCTTCTGATGTTGAAGCTATAAATGCTTCCTAGTGTGTTCCTCTTTTTCAGGTGGATCCTGTTTTGGGCTAAAAACCTGTGAAACAGCCCAAAAAAAGAAGCATGTAGTGCAACAATCAATAAATAGCACGCAAAATATGGACCAACATCCTTGGAATACAGCAATCACCATATGAGTTTCACTGAAAAAAACAGATAGAAGACCGTAGGGCGAAGAATCTATGACTATAGGAGGTCAAATGCCAGTGGCCCCAACACCCGCAAGGGAGTTTTTCTTGGCTGCGCATCTTTACAAGAACTCCCTGGTTCTAAGCTTTCTGACTTCCATCAAAGCGTATACAAGCAGCAGCCTCAAGTGAGAATAGAGTCTTGGACTTTTCTGTTCCCCGCCCTTGGCGGCCTGGGAGACCTCGGTGGCCTGGGAACCCCGAAGAACCGGGACGTGGATGGTTTGCCCGAAGGGCCCAGGGACGAACGGATCAGCACTCGGAACCGATGGAGAGACCTGTTGATCTGCCCGAACGCGACCCGCCCCCAAATCCTCGGGTCAGGGGTTTGGGGTTTCGAAGCAGTTTCACGGCCAAACGGGAGGAACTGTTCGTCCGGCCCAGTTCGTTCATATGCTGTTCACCCATGTTCGGTGCGTCCACGAAACGAGGAGGAAGCCGATTGATCCGCACAGGACCGTAGGACTGTAGGACCGGACTGTAATCTATAATGATCCCCAAATCAATTGAAATGGTGTCCAATCATGTCCAATACATTTTGAGTGAGGATCTACTTTTCTATCTATTTGGGGGGTCTATACCAGGGCCTTCAAGGGGTGGTGAATGGACACCCCTTAATGGCTAAGGGCCTATAAATAGACACCCCTTGGAGGGTCCTGGTATAATATATATTATCTATATATACCTACGAGCTGCTTCCAACGGGTCACCAATGGACAACCCTACCCTACTTATAGGTCTCCATTGGGCACCCATTGGAAGTGCTCGGTAGATCTTCCAACTGTGCAAATTGTGTACCTTTTAGTTGATTTAATGGATGAAAAGGCAGAAATGACCTGCACGTCGTTGGAAGATCCATATATATATATATATTATATACATATTATATGCAATATACCAGGAGTTCCACTTGAAGCTTCATGTCGGGGTGGCTTTTTCCGTGACACCGGTACCTGGTCGTGCGTCCGGTTCGGTACCTCGGCCTTTGGCACATCGAGGATCACACCAACGACGTCAACCACACGAGCCACTCGAACCAGACGGCGAGCCACGACCAGTTCGGTTGGACGAACTAATTCGACTATCCCAGGACTGGGTACCCGTCCGACTCCTTCAGGTCACCTACCTCTCTTGACATGCCACGTCTCGGTGCTTCGCTGTTTCGCTCGCTCGTCGACCGGGTCAGGGAACCGGAACCGACCGGTCGGTTTGCGTCGGATCTGCGAAGTGGAGGTGATTGTAGCGTCCTTGTTACTAGTAGTAAGGCCAGGAGCCCCGAACGTAGCTTCTTGCTCGTAGCGATGCCCTTTGCTACGTTCGTAGCTTCTTGTTACTAGTGGCGATGCCCTTTGCTACTAGTAGCTTCTTTGCTACTGAGGTGATGAACAAGAAATGGACGAAGCCCGGTCCTATTTGTCGCTGGTCGACAAGGCTTCGTCGGTTTGGCAGGGTCAAGTCGTTCTTTTTTCCGGCGCGTCAGTCGGTGGAGCTGCAAAGAGATTCGTCTTTAACTACCAAGATCATCCTGTCTGGGTGTCCCGTCTGAAGGTCCATATGTAGTGCCGGGTAGTCTATTGGTGACCCAGACAGGATGATGCAAGTATACGGCCTATTCCTTTTAATGTGCTTCAGCAGGGGTCGGGGCCCTCAAAACCCTATGTGTTGGTTCGGGCCTGGATTCTTAGGGTCAAAGGCAGGAAGCCTTTGGATGAATTTGACTTGTTTTTTTCCCTCCGCCGAAAGGAATGAACTTTGCATGTGCGTGAGCTATGAGGTTCTACAGCTTTCATGTGGTTCTTCTCACCTCGATCCCCACCTCCACCAGACCTTTCTGCACGCGGGTCAGGGTCTGGCAGGGCACACGTGGTGGATTTCAGGGTCTGACAGAGCTCTTCCCCCAGCCGACCGGAAGAAGTCCGCGCGACCGACCGGACCCCCAAGGAGTTGGGCAGGGGTTTTGGGGGGGGTTCTGGGGTCGACCTCACCAATCCATAGATCTTCCAACGACGTGCAGGTCATTTCGGCCTTTTCATCCATCAAACCAGCTTCAAAGGCAGAAATTCTGCACATCCGACCGGAAGATCTATAGGTATAGCCGGTATAGCGGACCGGGGATCGACCTCACCGACGGGGCCAACGGTTCACTGGAAAACAGCGTCGACTCCGTCGTCGGAGTGACGAAGGTCGCCGTTCGGTCGCAGCGACCCACATGGCCTGGTCGGTGGAAAGGGTGTCGCGCCAGGCTGAAGGGGTGAAACCTCAAGATGTGTTCAGTGGATTTCAGGGGAAAAAATGGGATTCAAACATCCGAATGACTCTGAATGTTTCAAGTCTACTTTCATAGGTTCGATAGAGAGTCTCCCAGGGTTCTTAGGCATCAAACCATACTTCAACCTCTCAACGAATCCACAACTTCGGCTTGCCCTCCACAAACCGCCAGTTTCCGGCCACTGCACACACCACTGCACGCGCCTCTCGACCTTGGGGGTAGGACCTGATGGCGCACTACAAGGAAATGCAGAAGGCCCTCGGCTACTCCACCGAGTGAGCTGCCACCCGTGAGCTGCTCCTGCCGGCCGCAAGTGTCTCCCAAGTGGGAGACGTCGCGGGGTCCGCCGGGAATCTCTGCCCAAGACCGTGACAGCGATGTGGTGGGGAAGGCTTTCTGGGTTGGAAGGCCAGCTGGAAGTGGGGGCCAGCTTTGGGCAGTTGGGGTTTTCGCCAGACGAGACCCGGGACACAAATCCTTTGGGGTCGCACCCGAATCCTCTGGAGGGAATAGTATATCCAAAGGCCAGAACGCAGGGAGCCAGGCTCCCCCAAAAGGTGCCTCGCTCAGTCCACGAGTCAAAGCCGGCGAAGCCCGGCGTCCAGCCCTTCCTGGCCCATTCCTTCCCCACGACCAGCCCGAGCTGTTTCGCGCGACCGGTCGGTGTTCAAACGCCTGTCCTAGACACTTATAAGCTTAGATAGTGCCTTACTACTATAGGAGCAAGAAGCTACTAGGAACAAGTGCATCGCTTCTAGTAACAAGTGCCTTACTAGTCGTAACAATGTTTGCTATTAGAAAGAATAAATAGATAGAGGTGAGGAACGGGGTGTCCCAAAACCCGGACGAACAGTGTCGGTCCTCACTTTCTCCCTCGAAAGCGAAGAAACTGATAGCTTCTTGTTACGAATATTGACTAATAGCAAGAATACTACTAGTAGTAATGCCCTTTGTTACTAGTAGCGTTGCCCTTGTTACGTTCGTAGCTTCTTGGTCCTATAGTAGTGATGCCAGGAGCTACTAGTAGCGTCCGACGCTCGCTCCGTTCGTAGCAACGCCCTTTACTACGTTCGTAGCTTTTTGGTCCTACCAGTAAGGCTTAAGAAGCAGCTTGGAACGGTCGGTCGCAGATGTTCTTCCAACGCTGCCAGCAGCAAAAAGAGGTGCGCAGCGGCTGCCGGCCCGGTTGGACCAGGTGGATGAGGAGCTGCAGAGACCAAGTCCTGACAGAGCGCCCCGCTAGGAAGCTCTGAACGGGCTTCAGGATGCAACGAGCCAAAGCCACGAAAACCCCACGGTTTGCAACGGAGCGAGTGAAGCGGCTTTTGGTTGACGGGATGTGGACTGTAGTGACGTCCTCAGGTCCTCAGTGACCCGGTCGGGACCAAGGTGTTGAACGGACGACCCGAGAACCGCCGAGGGTCGTACGCCTCCCTCATCTCAACGTCCGTCGCTGGTGCCCAGCGATGCCGTTTTCGTCGCTGGTCGCCACGTGGGACGAGGAACAGGATGTCGGGTGAAGGTGGGAGGTCCACGACCCATCCCCCAACGGGTTCACCTATTGGACCTCCCCAAAGGCTCTTCTCCACTAGAGAGTCAGTCTCAGGTCCTTGGGCCCATCCCAGGGCCCATCCCTCTCCCCACGTGCTCCCAGGTCTGCACCTCCGCTGCTGGTGTGCTGCACCTACCGTCCAGCAGCAACAAGTGCAAGTCAAAAAGGGGCGACTTTGAGAGAAACTGTCAAGATTGACGGAAGACGACACTATACATTATAAATTAATACCAAAAAGATGGACGTAAGACCTTAAGAAACGATACCATGCTCACCATGCTCACCGAATCCTTCTTTTGATTGAGTCATGATTCTTGACCGTGGTTCATTTCAGAAAGCTGCGATGGCAGTCCATCCCAGACCTGTACACAAGATTCACTCATCTTCTGAAAAAGCTTGTACAAGTGGATCCCGAAGCTTCGGCATTATTGTTTGCCGGAACCACCGGTCCGCCGATCCAAGAAACGCCTCTGGCCCAAGCTCCGCAGGGAGCTTCATCACCGCAACACCGATTCACAGCGGTTTCGGTCTGGCAAAACCGTAAACCTGACAGCTCAAACACCGAAACCAAAAATTCAGGTCACCTGCTTGCGGACCAAAAAAACACGCGGCCCACGAATGACTCATTATATACCAACACCGACTTCAGGTCGGTGACCAATTGAAACCTCTAACAGGGTCTTTCCCACCCAACCCTCCATGCAACGGAGACCTGTTGGGTTCGGTGCTGGTATAGAAGCAACATAGCTCTGAAGGACAGCACACCCGCACTCGACACACTCGTGGCGTCCCCATGACGCTCACACCCGCTTTCTTCCATGCCCCGCACACAGCGCGGTCGGCGCCGTGGGCCAAAGATGTGACCCGGTGGGAACGGAGACGCGACACGTCGACGAGACCATCGGACTGGCAGTCCCAGGTGTCTGGGTGTTGTCTTCTGCATCCAGGTCCGTGTCCGAATCTCTGACCGCAAGAAGCTAGTAATCTCTGGGCATGACTACGAACGTAGCGTGTCCGAATCTCTGACCTCCTAGTTTCCGAATCCGCCATTGGGCCCAACCCGCTGGAACGAGTTCGCTGTTGCTCACAGGGGCTCATCACAAAACATAGCTTATCATATATTAATTAATATATATATATACATAATATAGTATATACACTATATACATGCAGTTAATGTGTGCTGAGTGTGTTATTATTTCGGTGATGTCTTCGTGGGGCGGACTCGATAGTTGTGTATGGGAGGGATGTCTTGATGTTGACCACGATTGGTTCGAGCAGCCCTCTTGATTTATGATCATAACTATATAGCAGAGCTTTGGGGCGAGGTTTTGGTGAGCTCAAAGAGGACACTGTCTTATCTAGGTGTTTTGATCATAACTCTTGATATCAACTGCTTCGGTTTTTTCCTCAGCGATAGTCCCTCGATAGTGATAGCTATGGGGTTCTTACTTCAGAATGAGAAGCCCATGCCCGCTTTCGAGACACGCTGCCGGTGCTGGGTGCCGGTGCCGGCGCTGGGTGCTTGTGCCATTGGCTGTGTGCACTTTGAAAATAGGGTGTGGTTGCGGGGTACTGGTGCTGGTCTAGGTGATGGTTTCGGATATTTTCAACCCTTACTTGGGGATGATTGAACCCTCTGACTCATATTTGTCCTTCGTGGGTGGAAAACACCAACCAGTGGTTTCAACGCGCCATCGTGTCGGTGAAGCCCGGGAACTGCACAGCAAACGCGCACAGATGTCGTGGTATGCAGTTGATAGAAATATGCACATTGCAATACACATTGTTTTCATCGGGCAATACACATGCAGCAGCATCTTTAGTTTGTTCACGTTCGGATCCAAAGGCTGGTGGAGAACGCGGGGACCTCCAGTGCCATGTTTCGAACAGGCTGGCCTTTGGCTTTGCTCTTGCGGCTATGTTTGAAGGCTTGCGCGCAATGCTTGTGAAACCTAGGAGCTGTACTGTGTGCGCACATCTTTTTGTACGTGCATGTGTGTGTGTGTGTGTCACACTCTGTATCTAAGAGTTTCTTCCACTCAAATGTTTTCGAGCAGGGGGCATGGCAGCTGTTTCCCTAGCCATGCCAACGAAGCTATGGGATTCAGCCGGAAGGGAATGTGGACGCACATTCCTGTACCTGCGACTGAAACTGTTTTCCACGCTGTGACTCTACTTCTCCGTTTTTTTGATTTCATGGTGGTTCTCCATGATACTTCCCCCAAACCCACTTTCCTGCAGCTGAGCTCGCCGCGGCCACGTTTCTGCAGTCACACGAAAAACTGTGCTCAACATTCAAGTTGAGCTGATCTTGCGCCTTTCCGTTCCATCACCTCTTTCGACTTGGGAACTGAGCTAACTGAAAACCAATGTCAGAGTGTGTTTGTGTGTGCGCGCAACATCCTGTTGTAGTGTTTGCGCGTATATGTTTCCTAATATACTGCTACAATCTTTTCCTCGCGTCTCCCCACTTGCTTGCCTGTCTGATTGGCAGTTTCTTGGGCCCACCCGCGGTCACTGGAAGCTCTCATGGGCTTTTCTGTGACCTAAAGAAACTTGCCTTTTTTTGCCCACCCGGTGTTTTTTTTTCGAATCAGTTGCTCTCTGGGTTCTATGCTGGTAGTTGTTGTTGCCACCGAAGCTCCGGGCAAAAGGAGCAAGGAGCATCGATGTGTCACCAGCTGGAGGGTTAACTCGCCACGTTGGAAGCCTCAACGGCTTGGCGCCGAACCTGTGGTCGAATGACCCAGAGCTTGCTCCAAAAGGCCGCCTGGCCGAGGAAGAATCGGATCAAGCACTGGTCAAACTCTCCCTCAATCCGGTGATAGTCGCTGGATTGGCCAGTTCAATGTGCATTCCACAGCCGTAGCGCCAACAAGACGAAAGGATCTACATCTTCAGTCGCACATCGCCTGTCCATGAAGAAAGTGGCCAGGAAATATATCCCCGGCAGCAACTATGGATCTTGTTTTGGGCCCATGGTGGCACCAAGCTATACGGACAAGACCTGCTGGCGATTGAATGCTGATGAAGAAACAACTCTATGGCAAGGATTGCAAAATCTTTGTGGGGGGGTGCGTCGCGTGTGATGATGCACCCCCAAAGCCAGCCTGTGACGATAGCAAGGAAGCATGCTGGCACTTCATGAATCCAACAGTCTTTGGCGAATTGTTTCACAGCTTTAAGCCGAAGGCTCTGGTCAAGATGTCAGATGTGGACCACACAACATGGGCACTTGTTCGTCTCGCCTCACGGCTCGTATGCCGCTCAGACACACATCGCTCCAAAGATCCCAACCCCAAGCTGACATGATCGGCTCACGTCGTCGGCACGCTGCGAAAGAAGTCACCGTGGACTCTCTCGATGCTCGCACCAAGGCCCGCGAGCGCACGGCACGCACCACGTGCACGGCGCAGCCCGACGGCGCCCCACCGGACGTGCCACGCCGCCCGGCCGCCGCTGCGCTGGCCGCGCTGGCGCTGGGCGCGAGAAGCCGCGCGAAAGCCACTGGTTTAGGCGGTTCCGCGATCGGAGCTGGGTTCAAGATCAGAGATGACCACCGAGTTGGGAGTTTTTCTAAGGTCAGATGTAAGAATGCCAGAAGGGATGTCTTACAAGCCTGTGTTTGGTATAGTTTTATCCCCACTTGATTGATGTGTTCGATCAATATGAAGATTATGCCTATGTTTCATTATTATATGTTCTATTCTATTGTTTCAAAAAG